GAGAGGATGATGTGGTCGCCTGACACTCCGTCGGCCGTGCCTGACCCGGGATAGACGGCAACAGCATAGTCGGCAGCGGCGACGCCCAGCTCTGCAATCTCCATGGCCACATGGTCCGCGGCAGGGAACGGCCGCGCTGCAGCCTTGTCCTGTACGAACTCGATACCCCAGAAGAAGCCGCGGCCGCGGATGTCGCCGACGTTGGGGTGGTCGCCCAGCCGCTGGGCAAGCAGATCTGAGAGGACGGGGGCGAGTGTGCGCACGTTGGCCAACAGGTCCTCCTCGGCAATAATACGCTGCACGGCGAGGGCGGCGGCACAGGCGACGGGGTGGCCCTGGTAGGTGTGTCCATGGACGAAGGCGCTAAACATGGTCAGAATGTGACGTGGACTCGAAGCATGACGGGGGAGGAGACGAGACTCACCCGGTGCCTTTGCTGAGGACATCAATGACACCGTGGCTAGCCAGGACGCCGGCAATGGGCTGATATCCGCCACCTAGGCACTTGCCAATCGTCTGAATATCAGGTGCGATGCCCTCCTGCTGCCAGGCGTGCAGAGTGCCGGTGCGCCCCATACCGCACATAACTTCGTCCAAAATCAACAGGGCGCCGTACTTGCGGCACACGGCCTGGATAGCCTTGAAGTATCCAGGCACAGATGGCACGGATCCGAGAGCCTTAGAAAGTAGGACACGGTCAGTGCGCGTCTCAGGAAGTATGGCGTAGTGACGAAGAGAACGAGAGGACATACTGCACCGACGACGGGCTCGGCCACAAAGGCACAAACTGTGTCCGGACCCACGCGCTGGAACTCGGCATCCAGCTCGTCGGCCAAGCGGGCCACGTAGGCAGCGTCCGACTCGTCTGCCGTCTTGCCGCGGTAGGCAAAACACGGGGAGACATGCGAGATGTTCTTCGGCATCAACGGTTCGAACAGCTGGCGCCGTGTCTTGTGGCCACCCACAGCCAGCGCGCCAAGCGTGATGCCGTGGTACGACTGGTTACGGGCGATGAATCGGGTGCGCCGCGGCTCTGGCTCAGCCTTTTCCAAGTAGTACTGGCGGGCTAGCTTCAAAGCGGCCTCCATAGCCTCGGAGCCGGAGCAAACAATGTAGGCTCGGGCCATGTGGCCGCCGGTCGAGTCAACGAGATAACGGCACAGCTGCTCGCAGGCCGTGTTCGTGTAAAAGATAGTGGCACAGTACGCTGCAGATCGCATCTGAGCCATGGCAGAGTCGGCCACGCGGCCATCACCGTGGCCAATGCAAGCGACGGCTGCACCGCCGGAGGCGTCCAGAATGCGCCGGCCGTCATCCAAGATGAGGTAACTGCCCTCGCCACGGACAATAGACGGAAACTCGTGATGGATCTGGCGATGTAGAACAGCCGATGCGGCAGCAGGAGGCGCAGAGGTAGACTCAACTACGCCAGTGGTCGGCGCCCGAGTGATAACGGACTCACACCGGCTCGTGTCCTGCATGCTGAAGGGATCGGTGTCACTGAGATGCATACTGGTGGGCAGATAAGAGGGACGGGTGCAATAGCTGAGAAAAACGTTAGTGTTGAAGGGACGAAGTGTGGACAGTTGCGTGAAAGAAAACGAAATTCGTCCAGGAACAATGGACGCAGTCTGTAAATATAGTAAAGTCACGGGAAGCGCCGACCTGACTAGGCTCGAAGACCCAGTTCCGAAGCGGGGGATCCGACTATCAAAGAATGAGCTAGATGCCTTGTAAGTCGAGCAACATAAGCCAGCAGATGCTCTCCAACTCCAAAGAGAGCACTAGCCATGGACAACGGCTGCCAAGGTTCTTGAATGTGCTCAGGCAGGCAAGCAACCGGTCAAGGACGTTCCTACTTCAATCGAAGACCATGGCGTTTGTTCCTTTTTTTTCCACTTCGTAATTGCGTTTTGTTGTTTTGAGCAAACGAAACCAATGTTGATAGGCAAGCGAGCAACAGAGGGGGCTCGTATGACAGCGGGTGCGTGCGGACAGTGGATGCCGACGCGGGATCCCAGAATGGATATGGACATGACGAAAGTCGAATAATGGACGAAACCCGGAATTTGTCGCCCCCCAAATCATGTAAGAACCAGACATCAACTGTCGACAACACACCGCTCCCCGATTCTGGGCGGATGCTGATGGTGTCAAGAGCGGCTAGCTGGTGAGTTGGTCAAATCAACCGGTGAACGGATAGACGCAGGGCCAATTTGTTGTTGTGTATGTGATGGGTTTTGTTTTATTGTTTTTCATGGTTCGTTTTCATCCCCTTTTGTTTTTGTCGTTACCTCCTTCCCCATTCTAGTACTTTCAGTGTTTCTTTTGCTCGTTTTTTTTGCTCCTGCCTCTGTTATTCCTCACCCGCGCTTTCCGCTTTCATTTTGATATCGTCGGTTTGTGGCCAGTTGCTCTTTCTTCATCTGTCCTCTTACATGGCTCTCATTCTTTCTTTCCTTTCCCCCGCTCAAGCCCTATTTCCTTGCAAGCCTCGTTCCAGCTTTTTCTTAACAGCAGAACCTTTGGCTTTCTTCATCTTATCTCCATTCAGACGTCTCAGCGGTCGTCCTGCACCGCCCTTCTCCTAGCCACAACACCGCGATTACACCCTCGACGCATATGCCTGCCCCCTGCGTTTTCGGGACGACAATAACATGCCGGCTCGTTCAATCCTGCCAACGGCCGACTTTATCGGCAAGCTGCCTGATTCGCCAAATTCTCCCCCCTTTCTGCTTGTCGTCATGTCGCAGTGCATGCAGACGTGCGGAGGAAGAGGTGGTTGCTTTTGTTCTCCAGAGCACATCACATGCTCCGCATGCAGCTGCAGGGTAGTATTCAGCATCATTCGTACGCTTAGCTCGACTTCTTATCATTTCTCAGTTTCGCTCAGGTCAAACGTCATTTTGACGCTCAGAGCTTAATGTCGAGACCTGAATGCCAACACGTATCTTGCAGCATCCGCGCCCTACCGGAAGTTGAACTGTGAATAACGAATAGTCATGATGGCCTCCGACCGCCATTGCTCTTTTTTCTCGAATTCAGCGTCGGATATCGGCTCACGTTCGAGCGCGGCGTCGGTGCGTCTGTCGCACCGCAGAATGCATCTCCGTACCAGGGTGACAAAACTAACAGAAAAATGCAGCTCGCTCTTGTCTTCCGTGCGTGTCTACGGGTGCCGTTTCCGCTGGCCACTGGTGCATGTCTTACGTTCTCGAGGAATTCTTGAGACACCCCGCGCGTGGAGAGCATTTATTCAATTTTCGTACAAACGCGCTGTGTTACGCCAGGCACAGAGACAAGCGAGTCCTTCAGTCACCAAAACAAAAGTTCATGATCCAAAAGAAAATACTGAAGACGAACCAGTTGACCATTGCGCTGCTGCATCCTGTCGTACCACGTGAAAGCCAGCAGCTGCATGCTAATATGTCTGTTTGTTCGACGGCTCGGCGGAGTGCAACCCATCCCGCTTCTGATGACCACCATTTTTCACAGGGCAAGGAACAGCCATCCCATATGCGACATCATGACACCCTTCTGTGTCTTTTCTGTTTTGTTCTGTCACAGCTCGTATTTTGGGCGTCTCTTCGTTTTGTCCCCCACCCTTGTTTTTCGGCCATGGCCGTTCGTCTCGTCATCTCCAAGTGCGCACAACAAACCGAACGGAGCCACGTCTCAACGCTAGCCGTCTGTTGGTTAAGGGATGCAGTGTTTCCAATACAGCCTTCCATTCTTGGCATCCCGATGCGAGTGAATGCCTTCCTTGATCAAAGCAGCATTCGACTGGTGCTGCCGCAATCGCAATTAATTTACCCTTCCACCGCCGACTGAACACAAGACCGGCCATTCTAGGCTCTTGTGGTGAGCCTGGCACAAGGAAGGGACAGCATGCCGCGTGGCCTACAGTGGTACACATTACATGTAGTGAGTCAAGACCGCGGGCCGTAGGCCAACAGCAGGCCGAGTCTCATGGCATTGTATACCATACCTTGGTCAACATAACTCGGACGTACGTTTATTTCGCTTGGAACACAGCTACAGTGACAACACTTCCCTAGCTCGGCCCGGGTATGAAAAATTGACGGTGGACGCGGAACACTGAGTTGTTGGCACGCCATTGTGTTTGAGCCCGAGGACCAACGTACGGCCTCGTCCAGGATTCGTATGTTATCGCGGGCATCATAAAGTAAATCGACCAAAATGGGCAAGTCAAAAAGATACAACTGGCCAAGAAGTAAATGTTGTCACACGGCCACGCCGTAGCACCCCCTCGTCAAACGAGCTTCGGTGGTTGGTGCCCGAAGTGATTCGACCTGCATAAAAACGACACTAACTACGAAAGTGCGTTATCGTATCCGTAAAATCGGTGAGAAATGGAACTGCTGTGCATGATGCATTAAGGAGGGTGGCATATCACAGGGATTGGATGAGCATGCCAGTCGAGTTTTTTGCTGGTCGTGGCCGTCGTCCGAACTTTTATCGTAATGACTGTGTTCAGGTTTGTTAGGATGGAGTTTAAAAAAGGCAGTGCATAAAACCAATGTGAAATGTGCATAAACTTGATTACCTAATTCGCTTGCGCTATTGTGCACTGGCCAGAGGGCAGCACGCGAAATTGGTTGGCTGGGCCCTGGCCTAAAAAGGGCGGGAGTTAAACCACTTAACGCGTAAACGCGTCCACGACGCGTCGCTCCTGCCCCCTCCTCCACCTGTCGCTCCTGCACCTCATTAAACCTTTTTCCCCTCCAGGAAAGAGAACCCCGTTGCTATTTTGCAATTAACTCCTTCCCGCTTTGCCTTTGCTGTTTTCTGTTTGCTTCGTCGCCTCGCACTTGCCTTTTTTCATACTTCCTTTGCATTCTTGCCTCGTTCGCTCCTTTTCTTTGTTTCTCTTCGGCCTCAAACTCAACGCTGCGCAAGACGATACTCCCACCTCCTTCTTTTCAGTCTCATCATCCCTCACCGCGAACGATTGTCACCACACCTTGATCGCGGGCACAATGGACAGCATCCTGCTCCGCGACGACGCGGCGCGCGACCGCGTCCGCCAGGCGGAGGAATTCCTTGATCCCAGTATGTTTACGATCCGCATTTTGCTTCAAGTTTACTGCTATCGCTGTTGGCAGCTTTCCCTAACTTGCTCCCGCTCCTTGCAGACGACCAGAATGTCCGCACCTATCGCCCCAGCATCATCACGATGCTGCAAAAGAACCAGCGCCGCCTCGTGGTCAACATTGACCATGTTCGCGATACGCGGCCCGAGATGGCCGACGGCCTGCTGACGCAGCCTTTTGACTTCACACTCGCCTTCAACCAGGCGCTCAAGAATATTGTCAAGGCGATTCCCAATGCGCGTCCTGACCAGACCGACGACGACGTGCCGTACTACTGCGCCTGGGCCGGCAGCTTCGGTATGCACGCCTGCAACCCGCGCACGCTGTCGTCCCAGCACCTCAACCAGATGGTCTCTATTGAGGGCATTGTCACACGCTGCTCGCTGATCCACCCCAAGGTCATCAAGAGTGTGCACCACAGCGCCGCCAACGACACCTTTTACTATCGCGAATATCGTGACCAGACCATGACCAACGGCGCCACCACAACCAGCGCCTACCCGCAGCAGGACGACAACGGCAATGCGCTCGTCACCGAGTATGGCTTCTCCACCTACCGCGACAACCAGACCATTTCCATCCAAGAGATGCCCGAGCGGGCGCCAGCCGGTCAGCTGCCGCGTGGTGTCGATGTCATGCTTGACGATGACCTCGTTGATCATGTCAAGCCTGGTGACCGCGTGCAGATTGTTGGCATTTTTCGCACGCTCGGCAACCGCAACACCAACCACAGCAGCGCCCTCTTCAAGACGATCCTGCTCGCCAACAACGTCGTGCTGCTGTCGTCCAAGGCTGGCGGCGGCATTTCGACTGTCGACATTACCGACACCGACTTGCGCAACATCAACAAGATTGCCAAGAAGAAGAATCTGTTTGAGCTACTCTCACAGTCGCTCGCACCTAGCATCTACGGCCACGACCATATCAAGAAGGCTGTTTTGCTCATGCTACTCGGTGGTATGGAGAAGAACCTGGAGAACGGCACCCATTTGCGTGGTGACATCAATATTCTCATGGTTGGTGACCCCTCGACGGCCAAGTCGCAGCTGCTGCGTTTTGTCCTCAACACCGCGCCGCTGGCCATTGCCACGACGGGTCGTGGCTCGTCCGGTGTTGGTCTGACTGCCGCAGTGACCACGGACAAGGAGACAGGCGAGCGCCGCCTCGAGGCCGGTGCCATGGTCATGGCCGATCGTGGCGTGGTTTGTATCGACGAGTTCGACAAGATGTCCGACATTGACCGTGTGGCCATCCACGAAGTCATGGAGCAGCAGACCGTCACCATTGCCAAGGCCGGCATCCACACCTCGCTTAACGCCCGGTGCAGTGTCGTCGCGGCCGCCAACCCTGTGTTTGGCCAGTACGACCCGCACAAGGACCCGCACAAGAACATTGCGCTGCCCGATTCGCTGCTCTCGCGTTTCGATTTGCTCTTTGTTGTCACCGACGACATTGAAGACACGCGCGATCGTCAGATCTCCGAGCACGTTCTGCGTATGCACCGTTATCGCCAGCCGGGCACCGAGGAGGGCGCCCCTGTCCGAGAGCAGGGCCAGCAGGCTCTGTCGGTAGGCATGCAGAGCCAAACGAACGGAGGCTCGTCGCAGCGACCTACGGACGTCTTTGAGAAGCACAACGACATGCTGCACGCGGGTGTCAGCGGCGGCACGTCAGGTCGTGGCCGCCCGGCTGCCAACAAGAAGAAGGAGCTTCTGTCCATCCCCTTCCTTAAGAAGTACATCCACTACGCCAAGACGCGTGTGCGCCCTGTCTTGACTCAAGAAGCGTCGGACCGCATCTCCGACATTTACGTGGCGCTACGCAACGACGAGATGGAGGGCAACCAGCGCCGCACCAGCCCCATGACGGTCCGTACGCTGGAGACCATTATCCGTCTGGCGACTGCACACGCCAAGTCGCGCCTGTCGAACCGCGTTGACGAGCGCGATGCGCTGGCGGCCGAGGCCATCCTGCGCTTCGCCCTCTTCAAGGAAGTTGTTGAGGACGAGTCGCGCCGCAAGAAGAGGAAGACGCGGACGGTCGACGATGCCGAGAATGCTGAGTCAGGTAGCGACGACGACGACGACGACGAGTCGAGCGACGAGGGCGACGATGCAGCTGATGGTACGTTCCGTCGGACAGGTGCCGCTGGTACTCCCAGCGGATCACGGTCCACCCGCACCTCGGCACGGGCACGCGGCGGCGCCACGACCAATGGCCGGCGGCAAGCAGCCGCTGATGAAGACGATGACGAGGAAGATGCCGACGGTGACATTGATCCAGCAACGCCTTCACGCACAACACGGTCGGGCGGTGCCGGTACACAGTCCAGCACATCCTTTGCTTCGTCGCTCCCCTCGTCGCGCCTGGTATCGCAATCCCAGTCGCAAAGACGGCGGGCTACGCAGGAGGGCGACGATGGCGACGATGACGATGACGACGACGAAGACGATGACGGCGATGCTGAGGAAGAGGACGAGGAGGCTGACGAGCTCGCTAGCGGCGCTGCTGCCCTCAGCATTGCACCCGCGGCTGCTGCACCAGCGACCCTGGCACCGGCTCGCATGAACACCTTCCGCCGTCTCCTCGGCCAGCTGCAGAGCACGGACCTGTTCCAGAACGACGCGGCCAGTGTCGACGACATTATCACCTCCGTCAACGAGAAGATTGCGTCGATGCCGAGCAGCAGTGGTGGTCCCTTTTCGCGTGCTGACACGATTCTGGCGCTGGAGAAGATGGAGAAGGACAACCAGGTCATGTACACGGGCGGCAACCTGGTGTACCGCCTGTAAGCGGCAACGTGGCCAGGGGACGAATGTTGATGCTGATGGTTTCGTGACGACGGCCGGCGTTATCTGGTAGAACGGGCATGTTGTGCTTTTTAATGCGGGTTTTGTCATGTCTTGTATCTGATTGTCTCTGCCATGTACATGGGAATGATTTGTTCAACGCGTCACATGTTGCGTAAGGAGACGTAATGTGAATGGAGCAATGGAAGAATGCCAGAAACAAAATCGAATTCAAATTCAAATTTGATTTTCTCAAGAACAACAAAAATGGTCTTCTAACGAAACCTGTCTAAAAGAAAGTCTATATGCGTGTCGTCGTATCGTGGCCATGCTTTTCCTGCCGTCAAAAATAAAACCGAAACGAAGTGGAAATGGATATAAGAACGCCTCCTGTTGTAGAAATGAGGTGAGATTGTTGTTGGCTGCCCCGGGCCCGTGTGCCCCTTGACGAGATATGATACTCTCCAGAGGGTTAGTGGTCAGTCCATTAGAATACCCCTTTTACGAAGCAGAGACGCGTACGCTGCATAGCGGTCCTCGACTCGAACTCCGTTCCACGTCTCTTGGCCGTCGGCGTCTTGGCCCAACACAGGCACACCGACCTGCTCGATAGCAAAGCTGGCAGCCACGTTGCCCCACACAGCAGCTTCGTCGAGACTCTTGCCGCGCGCAAGGGCCACGGTAAAGCCGCCAAGGAACGAGTTGCCGCCACCAGTTGGATCGACCACCTGTAGCTTCTTGCCGGCAATACTCTCGGCGTCACCGTCTGCTGCCTCCGCGGCCTCGCCAGACACGGCCGGGATCCAGACCTCAACGCCAGCATCAAATGTGATTTCGTCGCGAGCAATCGACCCTTCTTCATCTTGCATCAAGCCAGCAAACAGAGCCTCCATGTCAATGTCGGGGCGCAGGCCGCCGTGTAGGTCTTGTTTGGGCACCGCCTTTCTCGGCGGTGCTTCTTTCTTGGGCGCCGCGTTCTTGTCGGAGCGTAGGAACCGCCGGCCTCCGTTTTTCGCGACATAGCAGCCGTACTCGGCTGCCCGTACTACGAGCGCATATGATTGAAGCGGCATGGCCGAGAGGAGCTGCTCGCAGGCACGCTCAACGGCGGCCTTGGATGGTTTGCCGGTCTCAGGGTCCATGCCACAGTGCGGGTCTCCCATGTAGCTCGCCAGTTCTGTGTGGTTTGGACTGCAGACGTCAACTACAGGGAGTGTGTTGGTGCAGTCGAGAAGCTCGTCGGGTGTACAGCGGTCAGGCACGGGCTCCCAAATGAAGTAGGGCCGCGCTAGAATGTCCGCCGTAGCCGACGCATCCGGGCCCAGAGCCGCGATGGCTTTGCGGCGCCTCGCCTTGATGTCTTCCACGAGGTCGCGACAACGCGAGGCAGAACTGAGAATGTGAAATGCGCGAGCCGTCAGAAGCGAGGGCGGCAGATCTTCGGCTGTCAGCCGCTTTTTGGGCGTCATGTAGCGAAACGCTCGGCGCTCAGCGGCGTCGTAGCCGTTCCAGCCCCGCGTGGTCAAGCGATCTGGGTCGGACCGCATGACGACGGCTGTCTCCCAGCTGTCGATGAGGTCAGCCATCGCTTTGGGGAAGTCTGAACCCTTGTCAACAACCCATCCGACGGTCCGTGACAGATCCGGGGCGGGGGAGAACAGACGAGCGCCCAGCGCAGCATAGGCGCCGCCGCCACCAAGAATGTCGCGCACTGGCGGCTTTGGGGGCAAGTACTCGATCTCGTCTGCAATAGTCAGTATTTTCGCCGTCTTTTCTGACAATGCTTGTGTAGCCGTGTTCTCGCTTAACGATTTAGTCTCATGTCATCCGCTGTACGCACCGATGATAAACATTCCCATCGTCACAAAGTCTGCAAAGACGCTTGGTGACTCCTCAGACTCATCTTCCCATTGAGAATCCGCCGGACTGTCAGTGTCAGCTTCTATGGATCCCATGTCGACCGTTTTGCTGCCGTCAAGGACAGTCGGACCGTCCTTGGCCTGGCCGTTGAGTCCAACGCTTTCGAGAGGTTGCTCCAGACCGGAAAGGGCCATTAGACGAGAACAGCACGACCCAAACGGTAGCTTGCGCGAGTCATGCAGCAGGGCAGGTCTGCGGGTACGGCAGCGTTCCAGAAATGAGACTTCGGTCTTCCTGTTTGTGTATCTTGCAAAGTTTCGCTCTGGGTTTCAACGTTGACGACTGATTTCGTGTCGTCGAGCCTTATCGATATTCCGCTTTGGCAATGGAGCCCAGGAATGCGCTAATGTGAACACAGCAGCTAATTATTGCACACCGTTGGGCTAGCGAACGGGCTGCAAGGGCGGATTTCGTTTTTCGAACGGTGACGAACTGCGACAAGGAAAACGATAAACGTGTTTTGGTTAAGTCATAAAGATGGGAGAATCTTGAGAACGGGCAGAGTGGAGGATGTGGACGTGCAAGAGGAAACGTCAAGAACAGCAAAAGGAAAGTGCGTGAGAATCAGAACGTGCAAAAAGGCAGGGGCCTGACCAGTCACCGCCGGTCTCGCCTGCCCCCCCAACAAGGTAAGAATCCGACTGATTGGCTTTCAGGACAATAGCTCCTGCCCACTATGGACACCAAAACAACACAACTGTACAGAGTAATTACCAAGCTAGGCTTTTCAATGTATTCAGGCAAGAACGACTAAGCCAGAGCAGCAGCCCACGGCATCGCACTTGCACCGACACCACAACGTGCGCATTATTTAGAAGGATCGACCGGTGCAGAGCTGAACCACCTGCAGGAGGCTTGATTCTGGCCATTGGGAGCACTGAGCATGCCCTGCACGCACTTGCGCACACATCTGTAACTCGCCTTATGCATTTGTGAGGGTCGGCTTGGGTCGCAATCAATACGTATTAATACTCCGCAGCGGGCAGCCCACCAAGACGGGCGGTCCAAGTCAGTGTTTTGGGGATTGTTTGGGGACACTGCTTTATCGCTCCTTCCATTTCAAAATGACTAACAGGGCGTGGGATATTGGGCGGGGGTGGCTCTAGCGCCAGAAGCTCCCTGGAAGCAGTCCGTACCTTCTTTGGAGAAGTCGCTGTGCAACGGCGGAAGGCGTTCGCCCGATTCCAAGCTGGGTCCTGCCTTCCCATTCAATCAGGGGTTGAGGCAACATCCATCATCGCGCAAATCTGTCGGAAGAGTGCAGGAAACTTGCAGCAAATCTCATCCACACTTTTCCATCGGGGGACACTTCAAACGCCATTCTGCCATTTCGCGATTTCGTGCTCATCAGGCAGCACTGTTTACAAGGCCCGTCGGTCTCTCGCTCACCTTATTCGAATCTCGTCATTTCACAATCGTGTTGCCTAGTTCTAGCTTGCAGGCTTGCAGGTATAACTAGGTTTTCCTTTTCTTGTTCTGCCATCTGGTGTTTCCAGCTCACTGCAGCCTTTCTTGCGTTTCTGCCTCGTCTCGATCGTTTCGTCGCATCGTTTCGTCGCATCGTCGGCTTCTGTCGCACCGCCGCTCTCGTCTCGTCGGGCAGCTCCATCTCCTAGCTCCCACCGTTTCCCGCCATGGCCACCAACAACATGAACAACCTGACGACGCTCATCAAGAGGTAGGTTGGCAACTTTCTGCTTGACATTGGCTCAATTGGCTTGTTGGCATGACCTTGAACCAATACTGGCTCGACCACCGAGCTGACCCTCACCCACCTCACCCAGACTCGAAGCTGCCACTGCCCGGCTCGAGGACATTGCGTCGTCCACCATCGAGCTCCCCCAAGCCGTCCCAGGCCTCCAACGATCCATCGCTTCCCCCGAGGCGGGCGGCTCTTCTGTTTCGACGCCTTCTGCTGCCCCCTCTGCTGCCGCCACTGCTGCTGCCGCTTCGAAAGCGCCAGCAGTCCCCGACGAACCCCTCCCCGAAATCATCGAAGAGTTCGACGTGTTCCTCAATGGCGCCGTGGCCAAGTTTGTGGAGCTGAGCAACAAGCGTGGCGGCCTCGTCGCCGAGCAGGCTGCCAAGGTCGCGGAAGGCTTCCGCGCGCAGCGCACGTTCCTACTCATCTCGACCAAGGCCAAGAAGCCCGATGTGAACGGCGCCGAGATGACCGTCTATCAGGACCTGCTGAAGCCCATCAACGAGGCCCTCATGGCCGTCAGCGCCATCAAGGACAACAACCGTGGCGCCACCGATTTCAACCAGCTGAGCGCCGTGTCCGAGGGTATTATGGTTCTCGCCTGGGTCACGCTCTCCGGCCGGGCCTTCAAGATGGTGGAGGAGTCGCTGGGTGCCGCCCAGTTCTTTGGCAACCGCGTGCTGAAGGAGTACAAGGACAAGTGAGTGACCTTATCTTATTGTTTTTCGATTTTACAAACTCATGCTAATGCAGAGCAGGGATCCCCAGCAGGTGGAGTGGGTGCAGAGCTTCTACCAGATTTTCCGCGACCTGGCCGATTACACAAAGGAGTTTGTCAATAACGGCATTCCTTGGAACCCCAATGGCAAACCGGCGGCCGAGGCCGCCAAGGAGGTGGCCGCATTAGCACCCGGTGCCGCGTCGTCCGCCTCCGCACCGCCACCCCCGCCCCCGCCTGGTCCTTCGGCTGGCGGTGCGCCGCCGCCGCCACCGCCGCCACCTCCACCCGGCCCTCCTCCCGTCCTGCAAATCAAGGATGAGTCGGCTGCTCAGACCAACGGTGCCAGCTCGGCGATTGGTGCTGTGTTCTCGGAGATCAACAAGGGCTCGGACGTGACCAAGGGCCTGCGCAAGGTCGACAAGTCGCAGATGACGCACAAGAATCCGGAACTGCGGGCAAGCTCGACGGTGCCCGGCGGAGGTGCTGCGGCAGGGGCAGGCGGCCAGCGTGGCAAGAGTCCGGTGCCGGGTAAGAAGCCGAAGCCGGAGAGCATGCGGGTCAAGAAGCCGGCTAAGAAGGAGCTGGACGGCAACAAGTGGACCATTGAGAACTACGACAAGGAGGCGGCCGCGGCCGGGCCCATTGAGATCGTGGTCAACATCAACCAGTCGATCCTGATCAGCAAGTGCTCGAATGCTACAGTCATTGTGCGCGGCAAGGGCAATGCCGTGACCGTTGAGAACACGGACCGGCTGTCGTTGGTTGTGGAGACGCTCGTGTCGTCGGTGGACGTGGTCAAGTCCAAGAACTTTGCGCTGCAGGTGCTGGGTACCATCCCAACGGTGATGCTCGACCAGGTGGACGGTGCACAGGTGTACCTGAGCAAGGAGAGCACGTCGGCGCAGGTGTTTATGAGCAAGACGGAGGGCGTCAACCTCAACATCATCACGCCGGCCGAGCAGCTGGGCGCAGACGAGGAGGAGGGCGACTACAAGGAGGTGCCGCTGCCGTCGCAGATCTGCTCGTACTTTGACGCGGAAAAGGGCGAGCTGGTCAGCGAGATTGTGTCTCACGCCGGTTAGGTTGTGAAACATGTTTTGGGAGGGGAGGTCTACGAGGCAGTCGGTTCGTTGTGTTGGAAAGACAGGATGTGTCTCATTTTTGTCTGTATATTGCGAGTGTATTGTGTATTAGCCGAAGAGGGTGGTGTAGGTAGTGTTCGAGTAAGACGCGGTGTTACATGTAGACAGAATCTTGTCGAGGCTCATTGTATAGCTGTTTTCAAAAGAGCTTTTCAACTTGCAGTTGAGCATGTCTACCGCTATTGTGGCCTTACGATATGACCTCAGAACCAGCTCGTCCTATATGGATCAAATAATGTGAATGATCTTCCGCTACTATACACAAAATAGTCGTGTCTTTTTATTATTTCATAGGGGTGTATGATATATAGTATCAAAATCAAGTAAGATTCCCGCTTGCATCTGCACCTTTGTTGAAAGATGACCCTCGTGCTCAAGTATGCTTTTATGTTCAGAGGGAGCAAATGAACACAGTTTCGCCGTAATGCACCAAAAATCGAATATCAAATGCAAGCCCAGTCTGCCACACTTGAAAGAGTTCGTACCCACCTCGTTCTAAGTCTAGCCACAAGATTGTGGACGCAACGCCGTTGAAGTGTTGCTATGCCGAACAAAGCACCTATAGAGGGACCAGTCTGTCTGTATATAAGCACCAAACCTTAGAACAGACCGTCGATCTCGCCAGTCTCGACGTCGATGTCGACGTTGAGATATCCCGGTGCGGTGGGCAGACCCGGGATGGTCTGGATATCAGCAGCAAGCGCGTACCTATGTTCGTTAGCATGTGTAGTAAAGAGAACTGTAGGAAGGCGCAGAAACGCTGGGGACTCACAAGTATCCTGCACCGGCCGCCATGCGCACGTCCCGGATGGGCACGGTGAAGCCTGTGGGTGCACCCTTCAGGTCTGGGTCGTGCGACAGCGAGTACTGCGTCTTGGCCACGCAGATGGGCAGGTTGCCAAATCCTTGGCGGGTGTACGTGTCCACCTTCTTCTGTGCCAGCTCGCTGAACTCGACAGCCGCCGCGCCGTACATGTCGCGCGCAATCTTCTCAATACGCTCCTGCACGCTGCCCTCGAGGCTGTACAGAAGATGGAAGTCCTTGGGCTTCTCGCTAGCGGCAACGACGGCGTTGGCCAGGTCGACAGCGCCTTTGCCACCCTCGGCCCAGTGGTTGGCCAGGATGGCGTCCTCGGCACCCGCGGCAATGGCCTCCTCGCGAATCACGGCAATCTCGGCGTCCGTGTCCGTCGAAAACTTGTTGATGGCCACAACAACGGGCACACCGTACGTCTTGGCATTGGCAATGTGCTTGCGCAGATTGACGCAGCCCTTGCGCAGGATGTCGACGTTCTCCTCGCGGTAGACGGCATTGAGCGGCGCGCCAGGTGAAATCGGAGGGCCGCCACCGTGCACCTTCAGAGCACGAACAGTCGCCACCACGACAACGACGTCGGGTACGAGGCCGGACGTGCGACACTTGATGTTGAAGAACCGCTCACCACCCATGGTGAAGTCGAAACCGGCCTCGGTCACGACGAAACCGGCCTTGGCCTTGGGGTCTTCGTCCGGCTCTGTGCCGGCGAGTTTGAGAGCCAGCTTGTCCGCCAGAATCGAGCTGTTGCCAATGCTAATGTTGGCAAAGGGGCCCGCGTGGACAAAGACGGGCGTGCCCTCCAGCGACTGCATCAGGTTGGGCTTGATGGCGTCCTTCATCAGTGCCGCGAGGGCACCGCCGGCGCCAATGTCGTCGCACGTCACAGGGTCGCCGCTGCGCGACGTCGCAACGACCATGCGGCCGAGGCGCTCACGCATGTCCGACAGGCTTGTGCTCAAGGCCAGGATGGCCATGCACTCACTGGCCACGGAAATGTCGAAGCCAGTGTCGCGGGTCTGCCCCTTCTCGGTGGGCGCCGTGCCGACCGTGATGCCGCGCAAGTGGCGGTCGTTGACATCTAGGACACGCTTCCAAGTGATCGTCTCCGGATCGATGTCGAGACGGGCGAACTTGGTGATCTCCTCCGGTGTCAGAGAGTCGGGGTCGGTCTTGTCGATGCCGAGCTTCTTCAGGCGACGGAACATGACCGGTTGGAAAGTCCGCTTGCCGTTTTTGGCCGGTACCAGGCGCTTGTAGAGGGGGCCGTCCTTCTGCGTGTTCTCGTGGAAAATGCGCGTCTCAATGGCAGCTGCCAGCAGGTTGTTGGCCGCCGAGATGGCGTGGATGTCGCCCGTCAGGTGCAAGTTGAACTCGTCCATGGGGATGACCTGGCTGTAGCCACCACCGGCCGCACCGCCCTTAATGCCGAATGTCGGGCCCTGGCTGGGCTGGCGAACATTGGCAAACGTGAGGCGGCCGAGGTGGGCGCCCAGGGCCTGGGCAAGACCCATAGTAGTGGTCGACTTGCCCTCGCCCAGCGGCGTGGGCGTGATGCCCGTCACCACAACGTAGCGACCGTTCTGGCGGTGCTCGAGACGCTTCAGGACATCAAGGTCGACCTTGGCCTTGTAAGCGCCGTACGGCTCCAGCTCGGCGGTGGTGATGCCGATCTCGGAAGCCACGCGGGTGATTTGCTTTGGCCGCTGCGCACGGGACACGGCAATGTCCGACGGGACGGGCTCCTGCAGCTTCAGGGGCAGCGGTACAATGTGGCGGTTCTTCAGGCCCTCAAAGTAGTTGGTGGCGGCCTCGACCACGTTCTGCATCAGCATGGCGACGGTCATCGGGCCAACACCACCGGGCACGGGCGTGAGATACGACGCAACTTGCGCGACCTGCTCGTGGTTCACATCGCCGACGAGGCGCTGGCCGGATTTCTTGGTCGCGTCCGGGATGTAGTTGGTGCCGACGTCAATGACGACGGCACCGGGCTTCAGCCAGCTGCCCAGAATGAACTCGGGCTGGCCAATGGCGGCGACGACCACGTCGGCCTGCTGAATGTGATCAACCAAGCCCTGGGTCTGCGAGTGGCATGTTGTCACGGTGGCATCTGCATGGCGCAGAAGCGAGGCGACGGGGCTGCCGACAATGTCGCTGCGGCCAACGACAACGGCGTTCTTTCCCCGCAGATTGATACCGGTCTCCTTGAGGAGGGCCATGATTCCCTTGGGCGTGCAGGGGATGAAGAGCGGGCGCGCGCCGCGCTTGGCGAGCTCGCCAATGTTGTTGGTACCGAAGCCATCAACATCCTTCTCGGCAGCGACAGCCGAGGTGACATTGTACTCAGACAGGTGCTTAGGAAGCGGCAACTGGACAAGGATGCCGTGAACGCTGGGGTTGTTGTTGAGGCGTCCGATCTCCTCGAGCAGCTCGGGCTCGGAGATGGACTCGGGCAGGTGAATGAGCTCACAGAGAATGCCAGCCTAGAGTGGGAGCGGCGGGTGTTTAGCAACATGATGGCATTGCCGTCACATGTAATCCTTGAGAGGGGAGTGTGTCACAGCTTACCTCTTCGGCGGCCTTGAGCTTCATGCGAACATAGGTAGCTAAACGTCAGGGAGCAAACAACTGTCAGTCACGAACAAAAAAAAACACATCATTGGTCAACGGCAAACCTTCCACGCCCAGACGATATCGGTTTCGAGGGTCGTATCTTACAGGAGTCAGACCGGTCGGCGACTGTAGAAGCAATTGAGTCAGTGTGGGCTGCTGGAGGATCACGTTGAGTCATTCAATGGACCAGGGCACGTACCCTGGATGATCTTGAGGCTTGGCTGGAAACGCGGGTTGGACTTCTGCTGCTCGGCGATGTCGGCACGCAGCGACTCCCGGATCTTCTTGGCGAGCGCCGTGCCGTCAATCTTTGCGGCGGCCATGGCGGAGCTGGAGAATGGACGGCTGCGAGAGCGGGTGGGGAGACACAAGGGGGATCCTGCGGAAACTGCAGAAAAACCAGCAAAGCGAGGGCGAGCGAGGGGTGTCCGGCTAGCAAACGTGGTCTTTGAGAGCTGTTGGAGACCGACTCGGGCCGGCGCCGCTGACCCAAAGGAGGATGAGGGGCGCGTGGTGCTGTTGGGGCGAAGAGAGCTGGTGCTGCCAAGGAAGAGACTGCTACTGGCGTGTGAGCATGCGCTCGTGGTAGTTCTCGTTCTGCTTGTTGGGCAGGTTCTCGTGCTGTACAAGCGGTTGCAGCCAACGGACGACATGCAGCTCAAGGGCAATCGCTCAGGAGCTGGATGTTGCCAAAGCGGTTTTTTTGTTTGGCGGCTTAAATCGGGTCTGGCGATAGGCGCTACCGGCCAAACATGTGCCTTTGAGGCAGGTGGTGCTGGTGTTGGTGCCTGACGCTTACATGCATATTCAAAGCCACCACAAGTTGGCACTCTGCGCGGGTGCAGGGGTGGTGGCATGTCTCTGTCTGGACCCAGTTCCTATATGATAAGGACGTGCAGAAAGCGAAGAGGAATATCCGACGATGACGCGAAGTAAGATCGATGTGGTACCAGAAAGGGAAAGTCACTGCGAGGGAAGGGGCCCAGCGCGAATTGCCTCGCAAAAACGGAAACCACGCACCACTCTTTGCCCCTTGAAAAAGCGCCGCAAATGACACAACAATAGCAGAAGGAGCGTTCTAATCTTGCCTATTTTGTTACTTTCCTGTCTCCTTCCTAATACTCCCTCGATGTGTGACTCAGATGCGGGAACGGCAGGTACTTGTCGCAACAGTTCGCGGAAGGAATGACGGGGAACAAAACGCCAAGACTAGTCAGGGCGTCCGAGCCTTCCCTCTCGGTGAGCGGACGGTGGAATGTGGATATATGAAAGTAAGCGAGCTTACACCCTGAGACTGAGGCGGATGAACTGCACGAGATGCAACAAGATCGTGAACACGAGCAAGGTGGTTGAGAATGCACAAAAAGCGACAGGCTCGTGTTATGGGAGATGGGGAACGGACCATAGAAATAGGAAATACAAGGGTCTCTCTTGGCTGGCGATATGTATGTTGAACACGTCCGCAATTCAAGCAAAAATACGGTCGCCGCGCATGAGGCGCTTTCCACGCCTTCTTAGACACGGCTCGTCAGACAAGCGGCGAGTTCAACCGCCAACTGCATCCGTAAGCGGAGGCCAAGGCATTTGGTGATTTCTCGGCATGCGCCTGGCCACCGCAACAGAACCCACGGCAAGACAAATAAATGCCTTTGCAAAAGACGGGATGTGTCAAAGAATTGTCAAGTGGCAGATTAGCGTCACCCTGCCTCTGGATTTCACGATGCAGCGCGGACCAATAAAGAACGGCCGAAGACGGCGGCGTCTAGATGCGCACGGCAGAGCCATTCTTGTGCGCCGCCAGTTGACCCTTTCGCGATGCCGCCGCAGGGTTGTGGGGGGTGAGTGACTCCAGGGGTATGCAACTATCAGAAATGGTGGTCAGCAAACGGTACAAATGAGGCTGCAAAATTGGGACTCTGAGTCACGTGGTGAGTCAAATGCCACTGGACCCCTGTCCAAGGTACTGCTTGTGTGCTGCGGCATACAAAAGGTACTAAATGCTGCCTGGACGGCTGATTGCCCCGCCCTTTCCCTTAGACGAGGTTCGGCGCACAAAGACCCCACAGTTAATACTCTGCTGGTTCGCATTTGGTGAGAAAAAAAATGAAGACGTTGGTATCAAATTCGGACGCAGAAACGAGACTACCATCTGCAACCTCTCGCACGACCACCACCACGCGTCCACGAAACTGATTCGCGCTATAGCGGACATTTCCGACTTCTGAAAAACACCCAACATGCGGCCGATTTTACTATCTGGGCACGAGCGTGCCCTCACGCAAGTGAGGTGAGTTTGAGCGAGCGCTTCTCTGAAGCGAAAACGAAAGACGATATCGAACAGCGCGGTGGGGAATGCCACGAGGACCAGGGAAGCCGCCGCGTGATGGTTATGGATGGAGAATACACAGACTGTATGCATCCAAACGACACGCGAAAGAGCCTGGTTGGCCAGTAGACATGGCGGGGTGGTCTGGAGGAAAGACAGTCGACGACAAGCGACGCTTTTCTTTTATAGAAAGAATCATAGCCCGACAGCAAGATTGACTAACGCTTTCCCTTCCTAGATACAACCATGACGGCGATTTGATCTTCTCCGTGTCCAAGGATCAGCACATCTGCGCCTGGTACGCACACAACGGCGAGCGTCTCGGAACATACCAGGGCCACCAGGGCGCCATCTGGACAGTCGACGTCGACCCGACAACGACGATTCTGGCCAGCGGCTCGGCCGACAACACGATCCGGCTATGGGACGCCATGACGGGCAAGCTGCTCAAGACGTGGGAGTTCCCGACGGCCGTCAAGCGCGTCGAGTTCAACGAGGATGCCACGCAGCTGCTGGGCGTGACGGAGAAGCGCATGGGCCACCTGGGCACCATTGTGGTGCTAGACATCAAGGTCGACGTGGAGGCGGAGCAGACGGACGAGCGCGCCATGACGATTGTCTGCGACGAGAGCAAGGCCACCGTCGCCGGCTGGAGCTACCTGTCCAAGTACATCATTGCGGGCCACGAGGATGGCTCGGTATCGCAGTACGACGGCAAGACGGGCGAGCTGATTTACAACGTGCCGATCCACGACCTGAACCAGCCCATTACGGACCTGCAGTGGTCGCCCGACCGGACATACTTCATCACGGCGTCCAAGGACAAGACGGCCAAGCTGGTGTCGGCCCGCGACCTGACCGTGCTCAAGACGTACACGGCCGACACGCCGCTCAACAGCGCCTGCATAACCCGCAAGAAGGACTTTGTCATTCTGGGCGGCGGTCAGGCGGCCATGGAGGTCACGCAGACGGCGGCCCGCCAGGGCAAGTTCGAGGCCCGCTTCTACCACAAGATCTTTGAGGACGAGATTGGCCGTGTCCGTGGCCACTTCGGCCCTCTGGTGCGTTGCCCTCCCTTTCCCCTCTTGGATATATTCACTGAACAAACGCTAACATCATGCAAGAACACCGTTGCTGTCGATCCTACCGGCAAGGGTTACGCGAGTGGAGGTGAGGACGGTTACGTGCGTGTGCACCAGTTTGACAAGGGCTACTTTGACTTCCTGTACGAGGTGGAGCGGGAACGGGCGAACCAGCTGGCTCTGCAGCAGTAGGTGGCAGGCGACTTGTCCGGACGGTGGTAGACGGAGGAAACAAAAAAGCGGCATAGGGGCGCGCAGTCAGCATCTGGTATCATGCAACGTGTGGGTCGAGTGTTTGTGGGAGTCCCTCAATGGCCCTTGCAGCATTCATGGCGTTTCTGGGATTTTGTCTTGTTTTATGTTTTTGGTCCGGGATTTCAGAAACTAAAAATACGTCTACTATTTATGTCCCGTTTTAATCTCTGGCACGTTTTTGTATAAGAATTTGTTGATGTGAGGTGGTACATATTTTCGATCCAAGTCATATATTACAGAACACGCACGCAAGCACACACACACAATTACACACGCTCGCTGACCCAGATAGCGCTGCGACAGCCCAGACGGATGACGCCCGTCAGCAGCCAGTGCGGCTCGGCCTTTTGCGCATCGTTGTCGACGGCATGGTCCAAGTGCTCCAACTCCTCGTCACGGATCCGGCGCAGCGTCGACGTCAGCTCCTCCAGCTCCGGCCCCACCTCGTAGCCCTCTGCCTTCCATGCGTCCGTCATCTCCAGCAGCTCGCGGATCTGGCCGTTGTAGTGTGTGCCAATCTCCGTCTCCACGGCCTCGGTGCACGCCATAGCCGCCTCGCGGCCCAACATTGCCGTCGACCAGCCAAGGCCCGTGGCCAGGGCCGACCAGACCGGATACAGCGCCGTGGGCCGCACGCGATGCTTGGCAATCAGCTTGTTGAACGTCTTGAGGTGGCCGACCTCCTGGTCATGCATGTGCTTCATCAGCGGCCGCAGATGCGGGTGCCGGCGCACAATCACCGGCGTCTGGGCGGCGTAGATGAGTGTGGCCGCCAGCTCGCCCGTCTGGTTCACACGGAGCTGCGCGTGTTAGCACGGTTGCAGGTCGATCGAAAATCAGACAGAGAAAACATCCAATAGTACACCGTGCGATGATACATACTGCAGAGGAAAGGAAGTCTTTCTGCTCTTGGGTCAGCGGCTTGCGCTTCGGCTTCGCATCACTCGAGCTGGAAGAGTGCGGTGGCGGCGGCGGTGGTGTGGAAGCAGATGCAGAGCCAGACACAGAGTCCGGGTCATTGACAACAGCCGCCAGACGGCGAGCCGGGACCGATGACAGACCGCATTGCGGGCACGATCTTGAGGCCGAAGAAGGCGAAGACAAAAGAGGTGACGCTGACACGCCTGTCCGGCGGGCCGCCCGTAACAGTGCTCTTGATGTTATTGGCAGCATTTTGTATGTGATGAGGACTTGCGGACGAGAAACGCGAATCTCTACAATAATTGCTTCCTCAATAGATGTGCTGTTCGTCGTCAGTCGAGGCCTGAATCATCCGACCATCTTCAAAAGCCCTCCATTGATCCATTCCGAGGAGCTCTGGTGGATACGCCTGTGTGGTTGATTCCGGCTTTTTATTGGTCAGGTAACCACAAGTGGGTCCCTTCTGGATTTTTACTCTGCCACCTGCCAGTCCACCAGCTGACGGGCTATTGCGCTAAGACAAAACCAGCCAATCATGGGCGTGCCCAGGGCGAGGCCTCAAAGTGAGCCAAAGGGAAACAATGGTCAATAGCACCGAATTTAGATTGTTTGCTGCGTTGGACCGCAACATTTGCTTTCATCGATCTTTTGGCCATCCGTCGTTGTTGTGCAAAAGTTCGACCACCCGCCGCCACATTTTTATCGTTAACTTGTCCCAGAGTTCTTCTCCTCGGCAGGTACTTTACACCAGTACTGACTCACGAAAAGCGCAGAGTCTTGACATTTCCATCGCAACACTGCGTTTCCGTTTTGACTGCAAACACAAGCATCTGTCGCACCATACGATCAGAATGTCCGACGTTGATGACGAGCTCCTTGCCCTCGCTGGTGGCGGCGAGTCTTCGGACGAAGATGTTCCCCCACAGCGCAAACGGCGCTCGGCCGCCGCATCTGACGATGAAGACGACGACGATGATGCGCCCGTGAGCAGACACCGCAGCCGGAGCCACTCCGAGTCACGCCCGGTGTCCCGCGGGGACGACAACCCCGCACGCAAAAACGACTCGCCGAGCTCCGCCGGCATGTCCGTGAAGAAGCCGACCAAGGCCAGACGGCGGGCACAGTCCGACGATTCAGAGGAGGAGGGCGAGGCGTAAGTCCAGGACATGTTCTCGTCTCGTGTGCCTCAGAAGTGGCCATTGACAAACTAACCTCCGGCCAGCTCGTCGCAACCCGGTACCCCCAGCTCGCAACAATCAGCCCCCATGGACGAGTCCGACTCCGAGTCGGACGCCGATGTGACAACCACGAAGAAGTCGCGGGTTGCCGCGGCCGCTGCTGTGGCCGACGACGACGACGATGACGAGAATAAGTACCCCGTCGACGGTCTCTTTGCGACGCACGAGGAGAAGGAAGAGATTATGGGCATGCGCGAGGTGGAGCGTGAGCAGATTCTGGCCGAGCGCGCCATGGAAAAGGACCGCATCCACCAAAACAAGCTCCTGCGCAGCCTCGTGAGCAACGACGAACAGCGTAAGAAGCGGTCGGCGAGCGCGGCCGACCTCGACGAAGGCCAGCGCAAGACATCGCGTGTGCGCACGAAGCTGGGCGGCACCAAGGTTGGCGAGACGCACTCGGCCATTGACACGCTCAAGAGCCGGCGTGCCGAGAAGAGCGAGCGCAACCGGCGGCGCGAGGAGGACCGTGAGCGGCGGAAAGACCGGCCGTCGTCGCGCGGCGGGCGCAGCGACAGCAGCCGCTCGGACGACGAGGACGATGACGATGGCTATGAGCCGGGCGATGCCGACAGCGACGTGGAGTGGGCCAAGCCCTCCAAGAAGTCGCGGTCGCCCGAGCTCAAGGTCAGCCAGGTTGCGGAGCTGCGGGACGTGGAGCGCGTGCGTCTCAGCCGCAGCCGTTTTGGCCAGGTGTGCTTCTACCCTGGTTTCGAGGAGAAAATCACAGGCACCTTTGTCCGGATATCTATCGGTCCTGATCCGGAGACGCGCGAGCCTGTCTATCGCATGGCACTTGTCAAGGGTATGCAATGCGCCATAGTTGTGGAACGGAAATCAGTATCTTCCTATTAACACGGCACCAGGCTTCACCAAGGGCAAACCGTACGCCATCTCGGGCCCTCAGGGCCAAATGATTGTCACGGACCAGTATGTCCTAGCCGCACACGGAAAGGCCCAGAGAGAATGGCCCTTCCTCGCATGCTCTGACAGCCCATTCACTGAGGTAAGCACCCCACCATGTCCAGTCAATATGATTTTTTCCGTTTTTTTTTTTTTTTTTTTTTTTTTTTTTTTTTTTTTTTTTCAACTGATATTAACACCACCCAGTCTGAGTGGTCGCGGTACCAGAAGGTGTGCCACGCCGACGGCGTATCCGTCCCAAAAAGGGGCCTGCTGCTCAACAAGGCGGACGACATCAACCAGCTGATCAACCGCAAGTGGACCGAGCAGGAGCTCGTCGAAAAAGTCGACCGCCAACAGGAGCTCAAGAGCCGCTTCAACGGCGTCGACCGCCTGCGCCTCGAGACCGCCATCAAAGAGGCCAAGGCCCTCGGCAACGCTGAGCGTGCACAGAAGCTGCAGGAGGAGCTCGACAGCCTCGAGACCCCCCGCCTCGCCTTCCGCACGTCTCTCACTGCATCAACCAAGACCAGCAACGAGCCGTCGCAGCAGGAGCGCCTCGCCCGTCTCAATGCTGAGAACCGCCGGCGCAACGCCGATGCTGTGCGCAAAGCGCAGCTGCGCGAGCGCAAGAAGGCGCGCGAGATTGAGCGCAAGATTGAGAATGGCGAAGAGGTCGAGGAGGACACGTCTCGGCGTGTCAAGACGCGGGCCAAGTTTGTGCACGACATCAATGACAATGGCGCCACGCCCGAGAGGAAGCCCGGCAGCCAGGCGGGCAGCGGTGCGAGCACACCAGCCAACGGCACACCGCGCCTTGGCGCACAAAAGAGCGGCTCTGGACTCCTGCCGCACCTGGCCAAGCTGCAGCAGCAACAGCGGGCGACAGCCAAGAACGGCCTGCCCGTGCTCCACAAGCCGATTGTGGACGACGACATTATTGCGTCGCTCGATCTTGACATTGACGACAACATCTTTGACGACTAAGGACGTTGTTCAGGATGGGATTGTTGGTCGATACTGTTATGTTTTCTTGTTATATTTTATTTTCCCCTTCCCTTTTCGTGTATCAGGCGTGTTTTTAAAAATGACTTTAGGGGAGAGCGGAAGACGCAAAGCGCAGGACAAGGCTCTGTATCATAATTACAAAATTGCACAACAACGGCGTGTGGTGTTTGTATTTTATTTTTAAACCAACGGGGCAACTACAAAATATTATAAATGCTATGAGGCATACGGCAGCCCATAGAGGGATTAGATCGTAAACGTGAAGCATTAACGTCGTGCCAAGGAAAGAGATGCGAACCAGTAGCCAAACAAATAATGAAACAAAATCAAGTGGTAGTAAACATCCTAAGAAATATATTGTGCTTTGGCTTCACTCAACAGCTCACGTCATACCAGGCCTTGATATCTCTTTTCACTCATTGCCGGCCTCAAGAGCCCGCAGTCGCCGCTCCAGATCGGCATTCTGTTTCTCGAGCTTCTCAACTTGCGCCTCCAGCTCTTCCATCTGCTCTTCGGCGCCCACGCTCATCTCCTCGACAATCTTGACCACACGCCACAAACGCAGCACAATGACCAGGGACGCAATCTCTTCAAGAACGCCGTGCGCCAGCACGTCCACCACGAAGCTCACGAGGATGACAAAAGCGTCGAAGCAGTGGAACCAGGACGAGAAGAAGTCGGTTCCAAACGCCCACAGCGACGACAGCAGCTCGGCCAAGAACAGACTGCTAATGACCAGCCCAATAATCTTGGTGGCCTCGAGCACAGGGTCAACCCATGGCTGGTCCTCGGTGCCGGTCTCGCAGGTGACAAGAGACACCAAAATCTCCGTGAGGATGGCGACGACGTCGAGGCCGACGAGTGTCAAGATCAGGTAGTGTTTCTGTTTGGAGGCGAGGTAATGCTGCGACCGACGGCGCCATTGCTGGATGCGGGCATGAGTATGTCCAGTGTGCGAATGGCTGGTGGCATGAGCCGGATGAGGCAGCAGTGGCTGGTTGTCTGCCATGTTTGGATGCCAGACGTTTTGAGTGGCGGTTGGAGTTTCGGGCGGTGCCGAGGAATGCCAAGCCGCGAAACGTCCCTAAAAAGGCAACGATGCAGAACAAGAAGGAGCAGGGCTCGCAAGGAAGGAGCGAGGCTGGCGATGAAGTCGCGATCGTAAAACACAAACAACAGACGCGGGAAATAGAATGGACGTACGTCGTAATCAAGATCAAATAAGTTTTAATAAATTGTAAAAGAACGCACAAGTGTGTCTTAAACAGTCTACCGAGCAAAAATGACGCGCAGTGACGCTGCTAGAAAGAGGAAAGTTGGCGGATGGAAACAAGGAGGCAAGCGTCACGTGAAAGGACCACACACCAAAATAGCAATATTAATAGGAGGCATTCTTCGAAGTATGTCGTACAACGATTCACAACATACCGAGACATTATGGCTTTGGATATTATTTCTATTTCCCAACTCCGAATAATGTTGTTAAATAAACGACACCGGGTGCCAAACTCTGCTATGCAATGTGATATAGTAATGCCGTCCCCGTATACATGATTGAACAAAAAAAAATACCTGCAGTTGCCAAAAAAACAAGATGCTCCGAGAAACAACGCCGGCCGAGGCCGTGAGTAGCAACGTCAGTGTATGGTCTACCGTTCCTGCTGCGGTGCATTGGCCGTGTACAGGGTAATTCCAAAGTGGATATGCTGAAAGGCTGGAGAAAAACGCCCCTTTCCATCATCCTCCACTGCAAGTATTAAAACTGCGGTCGGACGATCGATGAACGGCAAACTTGGCCTATGCTTGCCGAGACCGCTTGCCGCCACCGCGCCCAAACACGTCTTTGCCATAGCCTAGGCTCGCCAAGTCAAAAATCTCGTCAAAGTTGAGCTTGCGCTTTTGACCGGCGGAGCTTCGGTTGTAGCGTGCCGTCAGAGCACTGCGGCCGTTTGGTCGGCCCGCCGCGTGCCGTACGCGAAACTGTCGCGAGCCTGCTGTGTGCGACGGGCTGGACGATGTGCCGTCGGCTTGTGGAGTGTTGGGCGGCGCGTTGAACACATATGTCGATCCTGTCGTTGCTGTGGCGGACGGTGGCTCGGACGCGTCTTTGACAGAACCGGACGCTGATCGCCGGTCCGACAGATCGAGGTTGGCAAGCTCCAGGTATGACTCGTTGGTGGGATACGGCACCGTTGAGCGGAAAGTAAAGTGGTCTGAGTTGGAGTTCGAAACGTCGGCGTCCGCGCCTGTGTCGGCAGCGGTCGATGTCGATGCTGAGGAAGACGCAGACGTCGTCGTGGCGCCTCGCGCTTTGATCTTGCTCTTCTTCGTCGACACAGGCGCGGCCATCGGAGATGATGCTGCTACCTGGTAGTTCTTGGACGGCGAGGGCGTCTCCGCCTCTGTTTCCATGTCCGCCTCCGCCTCTGCCTCGGCCTCCGTTTGCATGGCCGTATCGTTGCTGTTCATGTTGTTACTGCCGTTGTTGGCGTTGCTTGTTGTAGAATCGTGATCTCGCACTTGGCGGTCGGCGCTGTTGGCGCCGGCAGGCTGTGGTTCCGGCGTGGAGCCCTCGGTCTTCTCAACCTCGTCCTCGCTCTCGATCGTCGGCAGGATCGGCTCGCGGCCGTCCAGCCGCTCCACGATCCATCGGCGTATTGTCCGCACATCCACGTCGCCCTTGTCCAGAACCACCAGCAGGTCCTCCAGGCAGTCTTGGTAGCCCTCGATCCGCGCCTTGGACTGCACGGCCGCCGACGTTTTGTACAGTTTCGTCACCGAGAGCGCTGCCGCCTTGAAGACGTCCAGCAGCTCCTCGGGGCTGCTCTCAGCACTGTGGCCGAGCATAGAGTGTGTTGTTGTGCCGGGTGTCCGCTTGCCGCTCATTCTGCGACGCCTGTATCGGCGGTGTATTGTGTGATGGGTCGATGCCAGAGGCTGGCTCTCGCCGATGGCTTTGGATGGCCGTGTTGATGCACTGGAAAATATCCAACCGCGTGCCTTTCAACGACGCGATGGCGGTGATAAACTGTATCAGAGATAGATCCCAGACGTTGTCGTTTGTGCTGCACGGCTTTCAGTGTCGTATTTGGTCGGCCTGTGTCGAAAAATGTTGTCGTAGTGGGGAGGGTCCAGAGAGGGGATATGCGTTGCTGGGAAGATGCAGTGATTTTTGCCCTGTGACTTATCTTTAGCGGGTTGCCACGATTGGAGTGGATGTCCCACAGGGGCCTTTGCTGTGCTGCCTATTATTGGTCAGCCGAACAAGTCACAAGGAAATATGGGGTCTTGGTGCCTGATGATTTATCACGTGCAATCGATTGGCCAATTCGGATAAAATTTGTTGCGTCACGCTTCGATGTCCTCTCCCTTCCTGACACGGCTAGCCGCACTGTGATTGGCAGGAACGACCGCGAGCGCGCCTCGATCCTCGAAATTTTGGGACTAACACCCAACGCCGCCGAGGAAGGCACGGTACAGCACCCCTTCCCGCTAAGAAACAGTAGTGGGCGCCCTGCATCCATTGTCGAGAACGGCATCAGCATCTTCTCTTTTTTCAACACCCTCTGGTCCGCCCCTTTACACCACTCACCGTGAGACCACTACGCGCCAGTGACACCATTTCAACTGCATTCGCATCTTGGACGCTGCTCTTCGAACTTCCCATCCATTCGTCGCGCGCAATCGATTCGATCACGGCGTGCACCAAAGGATCGCTAAAACGTTGCAAAGAGGCGCGTTTCCAACGCGTAAAGTGCAGACATCGCGAGCCTTCCGACTCCCGTCGACTGGACGCCCCTGGAGCTGCACCAACTGCTCATCCGATCGATAGGCAGACATACGAATATTCAACACCGACCTCTCATACCCAAGATCGCCCGCCATGGCTGCCTCGCGGCTCGACGATGGCAACGACACGGACGCGTCCATGGCTGATGCGCCCGCCTCTCGGCCCCAGTACTACGAGGTGTGTGCTGCCTACTCCGGTCGACATTCTGCCTGATGATTTCCGGGCTGCCGGTTAACTAATTTGTGCAGATGGACGACACCCCAGACTACACAGAGGACTCCGACACCAACCCCAATACGACGGCGAGCAGCGTCATCGGCGACGCAGCGCCCGACAGCCGGAGACGCAAGTCCGAGGCCAACCAGCTCCGTCGCAGCATATTCGGCCGCAAGCATGACCGTCTTGGCGAGTCAAAGGTGCGTGACCTTTCCAGCCTGCCGATCTCGGCCGTCCCTCCCTTTCTTTGCCCATACTGACTAATGTTTTCCCTGCTTCAGGAAGACGACACCATTCGACGATTCAAGTACCTACTCGGACTGACCGACCTCTTCCGCCACTTCATCGACACAAACCCGAACCCCAAGGTGCGCGAGGTTGTTGAGGAGATTGACCGGCAGAACGCAGAGGCCAGCAAATCCAAGAAGTCGGCACGCCAGGGCGGTGCTGCTACCGGCCGGCAGCGGCGGACAGAAGCCGAGGAGGATGCCGAGCTGCTTCGGGACGAGAAACACGGCGGGTCGGCCGAGACCGTCTTCCGCGAGTCCCCGTCCTTCATCCAGGGCACGATGCGTGACTACCAAGTGGCGGGCCTCAACTGGCTGATCTCGCTGCACGAGAACGGTATCTCGGGCATCCTCGCCGACGAAATGGGTCTGGGCAAGACCCTGCAGACCATCTCGTTCCTGGGCTACCTGCGCCATATTATGGGCATCACCGGCCCGCACCTGGTCATTGTGCCCAAGTCGACCCTCGACAACTGGAAGCGCGAGTTTGCCAAGTGGACGCCCGAGGTCAACGTGCTGGTCCTGCAGGGCGCCAAGGAGGAGCGGACCAACCTGATCAACGACCGCCTGATCGACGAGAGCTTTGACGTCTGTGTCACCAGCTACGAGATGATTCTCCGCGAAAAGGCACATCTGAAGAAGTTTGCCTGGGAGTACATCATCATCGACGAGGCCCACCGCATCAAGAACGAGGAGTCGTCGCTCGCCCAGGTCATCCGCCTGTTCAACTCGCGCAACCGGCTGCTGATCACGGGCACACCGCTGCAGAACAACCTGCACGAGCTGTGGGCGCTGCTCAACTTCTTGCTGCCCGATGTGTTTGGTGACTCGGAGGCGTTTGACCAGTGGTTCTCGGGCCAGGGCCGCGACCAGGACACCGTCGTGCAGCAGCTGCACCGCGTGCTGCGGCCTTTCCTGCTGCGGCGTGTCAAGAGCGACGTGGAGAAGAGCCTCCTGCCGAAGAAGGAGGTCAACGTCTACATTGGCATGTCGGACATGCAGGTCAAGTGGTACCAAAAGATCCTGGAGAAGGACATTGACGCTGTCAACGGCGCCGGCGGCAAGCGCGAGTCCAAGACGCGCCTGCTCAACATTGTCATGCAGCTGCGCAAGTGCTGCAACCACCCGTACCTGTTTGAGGGCGCCGAGCCGGGTCCGCCGTACACGACCGACGAGCATCTTGTGTTCAATGCCGGCAAAATGGTCGTGCTCGACAAGCTGCTCAAGCGCATGCAGAGCCAGGGCAGCCGCGTGCTCATTTTCTCGCAGATGAGCCGCCAGCTGGACATTCTGGAGGACTACTGCGTCTTCCGCGAGTACCAGTACTGCCGGATTGACGGCAACACGGCGCACGAGGACCGCATTGCGGCGATTGACGAGTACAACAAGCCTGGGTCTGAAAAGTTTGTGTTTTTGCTGACGACGCGCGCCGGCGGCCTCGGCATCAACCTGACGACGGCCGACATTGTCGTGCTGTACGACAGCGACTGGAACCCGCAAGCCGATTTGCAGGCCATGGACCGCGCGCATCGCATTGGCCAGACCAAGCAGGTGTACGTGTACCGTTTCATTACGGACAATGCCATTGAGGAGAAGGTGCTGGAGCGCGCAGCCCAAAAGCTGCGGCTCGACCAGCTGGTCATCCAGCAGGGCCGGGCGCAGATTGCGGCCAAGGCGGCGGCCAACAAGGACGAGCTCTTGTCGATGATTCAGCACGGCGCCGAGAAGGTGTTCAACACCAAGGGCGGCGGCACGGGCACGATGGGCGAGAAGGGCATGGAGATGACGGACGAGGACATTGACACGATCCTGCAGAGCGGCGAGAAGCGGACCCAGGAGCTCAACGCGCGGTACGAAAAGCTGGGCATCGACGACCTGCAAAAGTTCACGTCGGAATCGGCGTACGACTGGAACGGCGAGAACTTTGCGGCCAAGAAGAAGGACGTCGGGCTGACGTGGATCAACCCGGCCAAGCGCGAGCGCAAGGAGCAGGTGTACTCCATCGACCAGTACTACCGGCAGGCCATGTACGGCCACGCGCAGGCGCAAAAGGAGGCCAAGCCCAAGGCGCCTCGCGCACCCAAGCAGATCCACATCCAGGACTACCAGTTCTACCCCGAGGCGCTGCGCGACCTGCAGGACCGCGAGACAGCCTACTACCGCAAGGAGATTGGCTACAAGGTGCCGCTGGCGGACGGCGAGGAGGAGACGCTGGCGGAGCGCGAGGCCGAGCAGCAGATCGACCAGCAGGAGATTGACAACGCGACGGCGCTGACGGAGGAAGAGCAGGAGGAGAAGCAGCGGCTGTCGACGATGGGATTCGGCGACTGGAACCGGCGGGACTACCAGCAGTTTATCAACGGCTCGGCCAAGTTTGGACGCACCGACTACGAGAGCATTGCCACCGAGGTCGACAGCAAGACGGGCAGCGAGGTCAAGCAGTACGCCAAGGTGTTTTGGCAGCGGTACAAGGAGATCAGCGACTATCCGCGGGCGATCAAGGTGATTGAGGACGGCGAGGAGAAGCTGCGCAAGATTGAGCACCAGCGCAAGATGCTGCGCAAGAAGATGCAGCAGTACCGCGTGCCGCTGCAGCAGCTGCGCATCAACTACTCGGTGTCGACGACGAACAAGAAGGTGTACACCGAGGAGGAGGACCGGTTCCTGCTGGTGCAGCTCGACAAGCACGGCGTCGACTCGGACGGCATCTACGAGAAGATTCGCGACGAGATTCGCGAGAGCCCCCTCTTCCGGTTCGACTGGTTCTTCCTGAGCCGCACGCCCAGCGAGCTGAGCCGCCGGTGCACGACGCTGCTGACGACAATCGTCAAGGAGTTTGACGACCTCAACACGGCCAAGAGCAACGGGCACGGCGGCCATGCCAACGGCAAGCCCAAGCGCGAGCCCGACGGGGACGAGGAGAACGACGAGGACAGTGTGCTGGGCGCGCCGCCCAAGAAGAAGTCCAAGAACGGCGTCAAGGTGAGTCCACACGCCATCCCCGCGTCCTGCTCTGAGGTGGGAAACCCAGAAACTGTGTATTAACGTGAAACGCAGAACAAACCCCTCGACAATGTCAAGGCCAAGAACGGCGGCAGCAAGGCTAGCTCGGCGTCGCCCTCGCGGGCTTCGAGCGTCGTGTCGTCCAAGAAGGGAAAGCCTCAGAGCAAGCAGGCGGCGGCAGCGGCAGCGGCGAGCTCCAAGAGCAAAGCCAAGGGCCGCAAGCGGTAGACGATAGACTCGGAGTCAGCAAAAAAAAAAAGAAAAGGTCGGCTGGCCTCTCATTTCCGTTTTTTTGTGTTAATTTTTGATTTTCTTCTCGCTGTCTTTTTTCTATTTGGTGCGGTTTTTTTTTTTTGGCTGGCTGGTCCCTTTGTATTTCTCATCTAGAAAAAGAGAGGGCTCTTGTTATAGGACGGTCGGGGCCGGTGTTTATTTGTTTCCTGTTTGTTTCTTGTGCTCGATTACCATGTTATATCTATCATCTGTCTTTTTTTTTTCTACATCTGCATTGTACAATGTGTCCTTTCGTGTCATCACTTTGCGTCAAGGAGTGGTTGTCGAAAGGTATATGGAGTATTCAAAATGCATTGGGGGTTTATTGCAGAAGCAGTTGGGCTTCGCCCTTTTCATACTGCCGCACTATTTTGGTCGCCTTTTGGTCGCAACACCGCATCGTATAAAAGTCAGCACATGAGAAGAGTACAGTCACGACATGGCCTCGTTTTAGAGGGAGCGCTTTGTAAACGGCCGGGCGAACACCTGTGACCCCTTTCGTTTTTCCACTTGGTTCTTTTCGTTATGTTCAGAGATGAACCATGCAACCCAAGCGTGACACTGTTTCCCTCGCAAGACCGGGCCACAACGAGGACGTGATATTGAGATTGAATGATATTGCAAATCCACAGGAGGGTACCCCAACTTTGTCGCGGGAATGCTCTGTCTCGAGTCCGTGGTAACAATGCAGCATCCATTAACCAGAGATGCAGCTGTCGCATATGACGTACGATTACACCTCGTCACGAGCCATTCGACTGTTCTCCGTCTGTTGTGTAGCAACAGGACAGAAAACGGCCAGCATTCCTCTGGCACAGAATAAGTGAGACCTGACAATGTCAACCAGCGTTTTGTCCGTCTCAATTGCGATGCACTTATGCTCCACTCCACTGACTCTGCTAGCTTCGCCGGCTTGTCTTGGAGCGATGGTTCCTTGGACGGATCGGCAAGTCACCCACCCACACCTTTTGTGTCCTCTGCGTTGTAGCGGCCGTGTCGAAGAGGACAACCCAGTCGCGCATCATGGATGTCAAAAGTAGCTCTCTAGCCATCATACAGCTGGGCCGCGCTAGCTGGGCGGATCACAGTGACAAGATTTTGGCCTGCTCGGCCTCCGTCGGACACTGGAATGCAGCCTCTCGGGCACTAGCAACAGCTTAACCAAGTCGTATGGAGGAACGCATATCTGCTGCCGAGAGGTGCAGATACGTTGTGAAAATGCGACGTAAGAGGAGTGTCGAACGTTGAAGTAAACAAATCGTCGCTCCTGCCCAGAGCTCGCAGGAAAGAAGGAAAGAAAGCATGGCATGTACGTTCCTTCCGCGTCACTTTGTTCTTTACTTTCTCGTTCTTCTGCCCCCCTGAAAAGCCAGTCTCGCAGGGAAGGAGCCGAAAAGGGAAAGGGCACGCCGCCACAGTCGCTATTCACTTTTATTTGTCCACCCAAAATTTAACATTATCTCAAATTGGCCAATCACTCAGGTCGCGATGGTGCCGGGTAGCGCATTTGGTGGTCCCGCTGAGCCAGAGGAAGGGGAAATAACCAACGAAAGCCCCTGGAATGCCAAAAATGCTGTCTGTTATGAGATCAAATCGACCACGCTAATACGAGGTTCAAGGGGTATTAGAGCTCCCCACAAAATGAGTAGCGTGGGACGTGCCTTCCATTCCCGTGCAAAAAGAAAACACACACGAGAGAAGGAAAGAGCACAGAGCATATCACCATCTTGCTTATGCGCCTCCTTACGCCCACATGTTCTACTTGAAACAGACAGTCGGACTTTTAGAAAGCTCATGGTGTACGGAGTACGACGTATTACGAGTAATGGGCCCGCGATACCGGGGAGACAGCGCACCAATGTCTTGCCCATCCCGGCCAGGAAGAGTCGAGCGAAAATATCACGAGGTCAAGGAGGAGGTTTTACTTGCGCATGGTGGCTCCTGCCCTCCACTCCCAATAACCCGGCTGGGGAAAACACGAACCGTCCAGTCCACCCACCGAACCCCTGGCCGTTCTTTCCTATCTCTCTTATTGTCTCTTTCCCTGGGTTTTTTTGGCACTGTTTTAGAAGGAAGGTACGGTGTAGCCCGTCAGGCCGTTGCTCACTCGCTGCCAGGCCACCGTCCTCCATGCCATTGCGCCGCCCGACGAGCATTGCTCGCTTAGAAACTTTGTGTAATGCCAGGTACCATACGCCGTACGTTGCTATTCCTAGATTTTCTGTGATATGTGGTGATTAGTAGGTGTGCGTCTGTTGTGTTGCGACTGATTTGGTCTGTGTGTGGTCCCTTGCTGCCCATCCAGCGCTCCTTCCCTTTTGTTTACTGTACCGAGTGTCCGTGGGTCGAAGCCATAAACCTCTCCTTCCCTGCCAGCCAGCAGCTTATCGAGCTATCCTTATTTCTCCTCTTTTCTGTCCTCTTCTTCTCTATTTTTCTTTCCCCTCTCTCTCTTTCTCTTCCACTTCTCTGCTTTACCACGATCCATCTTCGTTTCACGGTCATCACGTCCTTCGCTTGCCTTCTGTTCTTGTCACTCGTTTCGACCAAGTCGCCGTCTCTCGCTGTCTCAATACTTTCACCTCACGACTTTCACCATTTATCTCTTACTTTAACGTAATACCCACCTCTCACAACGCCAAAATGCAGTTCTTCACCTTCGCCGCTCTCCTGGCCTCGGCCGTCTCTGTCTCGGCCGCCACCACCTCGGCCGCCGCTCCTGTCGGCACGTCCACCTCGTCTTGCGCCGCCCAGAACATCCTGGACGCCTGCTTGCAGACCGAGACCGACCTGTTCAACTCCTGCGGCACCAACGACTGGAACTGCAAGTGCAATGCCTACGGTGCAATTGTGACGTGAGTCCTCCCCTCCCCGCACTCCTCTCCTTCAACCTTGCAAGGCCGACTGTTTCTACACTACAAGCTCGTGTAACACATCGCTAACCGTTCTTTAGCTGCTACAACAACTGCCCCAGCGACCAGACCGTCGTCACCGCCAAGGGCCAGCAGCAGATCTTCTGCGGCTACGCCAGCCAGTACCCTTCGGCGACGCCCACCGGCGCCAAGAAGACGGGCACCGCCACCACGACCGCCACCAAGGCTACCGGCACCAAAGCCGCCGCCGGTACCGGTTCCAGCACTGACTCTGGCTCCGGTGCGTCGGGCAGCGCTTCCTCGGGCACTGCTTCCGGCACTGCTAAGCCCCCCGCTGAGACCCACTCGGGTGCCGACCTGGCAATCAAGTCGGGCAGCATGCTGTTCGCCGTGGCCGGTATGGCCGCTGCTCTCCTGTAAGGGAGGTGAAGCGAACACCTTTGAAATAAGACAAGAAACCAGCGACAAACAGCTTGCATTCTTGGTCTTTTTTGATCGTTTCCCCGACCAATGAATCAACCCACCCCCTTTCTTCGTTGCGGTTTCTTTACAGGAGCTCGGCCATGTTTTTATTTTTTTTATAGTTCTTTCGCGCCTTCTTCGTCTACCGTTCATTACCGTTATACTTGAAAAACTCACAATATAATCTCTAATTTTTGGGTCGCGGGATCAGGAAAGCCATGGTGTCTCAATATATGAACGCATTGACAGCATGTTTGATGTGGAATATGTAATTCAATTTATAAATTGACATCTTAATGTGAGGCAACAGCTAGGCACGAAGAGAACGAGAAGTCACTCACACAACATGTCCCATTACCGCGCCTATAGACGCCTTAGCACACTCTCAACAGCATCCGACTTCCTCCTTGGCCCCATGGCCCACCTAACAAGGTGTTGTGCAAAGGGTCCCCGTGGTTTCGGGCAAAGGGCAGAAGTTATATTCGGTGCACTGTCCCGGTTGTGTAGCCAAATCTCGTCTACGTGATGACCATGTATTATTCAGAGCACATCTTTTTATTTGTGGTGACTCTCCTCGAGGGGTAATACTACGAATGGAGATTGGGAGGGAGAAGTTGAGAATATTGAACATTTCTTAGTATATACTTACTACCTGAGGTATATCTGTGAATAGGGTCAAACAGAAAGCCAGCGTCATATTCAGACATTCACATTCACACGTGGACGCAAGGCATTGACAAACTTAGGGCGTATTTGTATGGATGTTATGTTCAGATTCAAGTATGTACAGTTCGGTAGTAAAACATCTGTCCTGCAACGTAAAAAATAAATCGCAGACAGAAACACCGCTCTCGTCACCCATCAACGAGGCTCGCCATCTCGACAAAGGCTCTCGTTCGGCCTTGCACGCGGAGTCAACCGGCACCTTCTTTCAGGCCTTCGGCATCACCGAAAATGCTCCGGTATCGGGATCCGTACACGGTGCAGTCGCTTTCTCATCCTTTAAACAGAGAACAAAAGAACGCGGGAGACAAAAGAAGTACATAATATCGAGGAAAAGACAGCGCGAAAAGAAGACAACGGAGAAAAAAAGGACACGCACGAAAACCGCAAATCCGAACCCGCCATCCCATGCGCTTGAAACCACAGACCCGAGAGATAACCGGAACCAATAAAACTAAATAGAAGACGAAAACAGAGAAAAGAGACCGCCGCCTTGCGTCGCCGCGAGCAAGACGGTAAAAAATCAACCCATTTGTTTATCACTCTAATTTTGATTGTAGCAGGGAGGAGGAAATTTGAAGGAAAAGGGGAAGAAAGGGTCATTGACACATAAAAGCCATATGTGCAGCAATAAGGCGCGGTATAAAACAAAAAAAGCAAGCTGGTATTAAAAGCGTAGAAATGGAAAGCAAAGAGGGGTACAAGAAGGAAGAACGTGTGTGCGGGAGTGTAGGTGCGATGAGCAGGTGCGGTGGCAATAGACAGTCTAGTTACGTCTGCCCTTGCTAGACCCTTTCACGGGGCTCACAAAGGTGACATGTTTGGGGTCATCCTTCTTCAGCTTGACGCTGCCGCTGTGGCGGCGTAGAGGCCGAGGCGTGTTGTGCACGTGGTCTTCGTCCTCGTCGGTGTTGATCTCAGGTACTTCGGAGACGGAATCCATATCGGTGTCAGAGGTCTCCGAAGCAGAACCATCGTCCGAGTCATCGTACTCGCCATCATCGCTGACAAGCGAAGGCGCGATGTTGCTAGCCGAATGGATAGGGCTGAGGTCGACATCCATCGCATCGCCGACCACACCGACCGCGACATAGTCGACGATCTGCCCCCCGTACGGAATGTGGGCTGGGGTGGATGCGCCCTTGCTGCTGCTGGGCCGCGAAGCCTCGGCACTCTTAGAGGAGGCAGCCGATTGCGTCGGCCGCACGGGGGCACGCTTCACTGTCGACGTGTTTGGCGTTTCGGCATTCGGAGTGTTCAGGTCGAACTCGTCGTCTTCATCGGCGTACCAAGCCATGTCGTCAATGTCGGTGACCTCTTTCGCATCTTCCACCGACGCATCCAGGTTTCCTCCGAACTCCTTCTTTTCCAAGAAACGAGAAAGGAACGGCGTCTTATCCGAACCAACAAACGCAGCTGTAGCAGCCTTTGCCTTCTTGTTTTTCACCTGGTTGCGGGCGCCCGAGGCGGCCGAGGCGGCCGTGGCAGTAGAGCACGACGCGTAGGACGAGTGAATGCGGTCCAGCACGGAGTCAGTGGCGTTGCTATCAGCGCGCGCCAGTGAATAAACATGGCCGGGGAGAGCAGTGCTGCCAGGTGTGCCCGACACACCGGGGTTGACGGGAGTCGCGAGAGCGGACGCAGAGCAAGACGTAGAAGACGCGGACGCGATGGCTGAGGCAGCCGGCATAGCGATGCTCGCAGGAGCACCACTCTTGGGAGCAGCGGCGGCCGCAGTAGCATCGTTCTTTTTGGCCGATGCTGCGGCAAGAGGTGCACCGGTATCGACTTCGATGGGATGACCACAGTGAATGGCAGCCTCGTCATGGCTCTTGTAGTCGCGCTTGTGAGCGATACGGCAGTGGTTGATGAAGCCCTGTGTGCTAGAAAAGTTGTCACGGTGACAGTCGGTGCAGACCAGCTTCACGACTTTGCCATCAGAGCGCTTCAGAATGCAAGGGCCAGCCTTGTCCTTGGGCTGGGGGTAGCCACTGGACAGCGAGTGTAGTCTCTGACCAGAAACACCACGTGAGGCGCGCGCCTTGCTGGAGTCGGAGACGCTGTTCCTCGTCGACCGCGCATCGGCGGTTGCACCGCCCTTGGAGGACCGAGCATGCGGTGCAAGGCCAGGCCAGTTGGGGAGCGGCCCATCAAAGACAGGGTCGGGAATGAGCCACTTGGCGTAATGACGCGCATACGGACCGTCGACAACACCGAACGGCGATGACCACTTCGGAACAGTAGCGCCCGGCCTGGGACGCACAGCGGTACCACGACCGCTGGCAATGTCCAGCATTTGCGCGGGTGTCGGGCAATCCGTCGGGTAGGGGATAAGGTGGCATCTGCGCAACTGCTCGAGCGCAATCTGGCACTTGGCCATCTCTTGCTCGATGAGGCGCAGCTCATTGTGCTTGATCAAAATCTCCTGCGAAAACTGGAACTGCACGACATCCTTCACTGCCTCGATGTTGGCAACATCCCGTGTGGCCAGTGACACAGACAACGGAGGGGAGGGTGGTGAGGTCAGACGGTCTTGGGTGGTTGCGCTGTCCTGGGCACCATACGTAGCTTGCGGCCAAGCAGCCTCACCACACTCGGTCTTTACGCGCTTCGTCGAAGAGAACAGCGCCTGCTGGTCGGCCGGGGGGTCGAACTCCATCGAGGGAGAGGGCGGCAGCATAGACTCGGCGTCCGATGCGCGCTTGCGTTTTGTCAGCGGCGCCGGCCGCCCCGGCGCGCCAGCAGCGGTAGCTGCGGACATCTCAGAAGCGTCATACGCGTTATATACAGCGCCGAAATAGTCTTCAGATGGTGGTGATACTGCCTCGGTAGTACTGTCGCATCCCCTTGGTTCAGACGACCAGAAACGAAACATCACCAAGGTGGTAGGGAAGAGGCGCGCCGCGCGAGAAAGGAGTGTCGATCGCCCGGCGAGGGTGGGTGATTAAAAAATATAAATGAAAAAAGTCCAAAGACAAGAGAGAAAGAAAGACGGTCCAGTAAGAGTCAAAAAAAGAAGGCGCAAGGTCTTGTGTGTTGTGGTCGAGGCGGAAAGGACTGCTGACTGGTTGTCGAACTGAGTGGCTTTGGTACGTCGCAAGGCAGCCGCGTGGTGAAACAAGAACGCCACGGCAAAGGTGTGTGAGAAGGGGAAAGGCAAGAAACGAGAAGCGTGACAGCAAGCGGAGGAGACCGAATCAAATAGGGTGGGGCGAATCGGCACGAAAGAGCGTGTGATTGGCTGGCGATTGGGCGAAAGGCAAGCTGACGTAACCGAGCAGGACGGGCAAAGCGGGCCTATCGTATTTTGCAGACTGGAGCCTGCGTTGCGGGAGAAGGAGTACCGGGGGGGGGGGGGGGGGTGCGTTGGTGTGAGTGGAGAGTGGGTCCCCTAGGACTTTTGGCTGGGCCGTGAGGAACAGGGGCGACTAGCAGGAGAAGGAAAGAGCAAGGAATAAGGGGCAATAGCAGGCGGAACAGCGGGGGGAAGGCGCTGAGTGGTGAGTAATGCTGCTGGGCGTGGATGATGTGGCCGCTTCAGATCCAACGGAAACTGGGCAGCAACACAGCCTGGAATGCGCGGGAAGGTGCAACACTGCCAAAACTGGGCGGAAAGTGCGACGGAGCCAGCACTGCAAAAAGGGGGAAGATCGTGAGGGAGAAAGGAGGAAAAGTGAGCGGGAAAATAGAGGAAAATGAGAAAAGCGACGAGGAAAGCGATCGTAACAGGCCCAAAAGCGAGATTTTGGTTGCTGAAGGGAAGGGAAAGTCGAAGCGCGAGCACTAGCAAAAGCCTCTGCGCAAAGTAAAGGTCAGGAGAAGACAAGAAGTGTCGAGAAAGAGTCTGCAAAACGAAAATTTGCTGCTCTCGTCGAAGAAAAAAGCGTTGTTGTTTGTGTTGTCGCGGAAGACAATTCTGCGACGTCTGGAGATGGCGAGAAAAAAGAAGAAAAGGAAGAGAAACAGGACGTGAGAGCAAATGTGAGATAAAGGAGAAAGGGGGCGTTGTGTGGTGGGTGTGGGCGCTGGACGGTGGTGTTTTTGTTGTGGTTCTAGGCGAGAAGGAGATGGAAACGGGCGGGACGGATTGCGAAATCGAAAGGAAGCAAGGAAACAAGGAGGCAGCACAGAAGGGGTAACTGCGCGGGGCGTTTGTAGCGCAGGTGGCCTAGACTAGAGGAGACTGTAACCCCAAGGCGACCAGTTCATGCGCCGTTTCCACGTCTTGATGTCTGGGGGTCTGGGCCTCAGTGGAAGGAGCAAACCAAAAGCGCACGAATCCTGTTACGGTACTCCGTAGTGGGCAGGAGAAATTCTAGGCAAAAGGCAGGAGCAGCACAGGGTGGTTTGGGACCAACACCAGACTGGACGAGACAAGAAAGAACGGCGAAGGCGACGCTGGGAGCAACAGGGCAGGACGCAAGGGGAGAGGCGCTCAGAGTGGAAGCCACTGGGGAGGTGTGGGTCTAGCCAAGGGCGTCCCAAACACAACGCTAGGGAAGCTGTATTGGTGTGGGCCAGGCTTGGCTGGCGAGATACGAGAGACGAGGACAAGACACGGGGGGGGAGAATGAGTGATATCGGTTTGTCTCATTACGCTTGCGGAATGGACAAACGAGAGAAGGATGGGCATGTTTTGCGACGTAAGATGCAGTATCTCGCACTTGTGCACATCCATTTGAACACGTTACGAGAGCATGAAAAAGCGTTCGTAATGAGTTATGTTTCTCCAGACATTGCAATACGCAAGGCCCCGAGAATGACAGCATCCACTGCGACGGTCTTGAGATATGAAGATGGATCGGCAAGTCGCCGCCACGTGCACGTACTGGTACATCATAATGAGCGTCAAATACCGCAGTTTGGCAGCCCCATACGTATCTTCTACATTCGACTTAACGGTGCTGAGTAGCTTACGGGCATAGTGCACTACTAGCGCATTATGCTCTGCTTCAGCGCACTACGCGCTAACCGACCACGCAAATCCTGCCCAAATGGAATCATCGACACATGCAAGCCTATGAAGCTCGAGAGATGTGTCCAATATTGATAATATCGTAACACCGAGGACAGAAACACCCTCGCTTATTGTTTTTTCTTACTTGTTTAAAGGTCGTTGTTTTGTTTGTTTGTTGCTTCTGTTCCGTTTGTTCCGTTTGTTCCGTTGCGGCCGTTCGCGTTATCGCGCCACGTCTTGCAATCTATTTCGTGCTGTTGTTTCCTTGCTGTTTAGCTCGTTTAATTCCTTTTGTTTGCCCTTCTGCACGGCAGCAGGCCGTGCTGCCCTGTGCACTGTTTGATTGCAGCGATTCCACTGGGTGGGTATTCATGGGCTATTGCAGCTCCTTCCGCCCCAGTTTCAGCCTGGGTTAGCCGGGGTTTGCTCGCTAACAGAATACAGCCAGAGTGCTCATCTGCCCTCACCTTCCGGGCAAGGACTGCGTGTTCCCCGGTACCTCGCTATCTGCCGACCCCTGTCCAATAAACAGCAGGCATGGGTCCGAGGGCCGCTTTCTATTTGTGTTTGAGTTTGATGTTTCCTGGCCCCTTTGGCCCCCTTCCATCCTTGCAGTCACACAACAGCGGCCTGCAGCGAGGACTGGCGTCTAGACGAGGAAGGAGCAAATAAAGAGTGTGCATGCGCATCGAATTTCTTCATGGTGCAAAACGACGACAGACACCGGAGAGACGACCTCGACAAAAATATACACATGCCCGATGCACATGCCACGCTTGCTCGATCTCGAGCTGTCCATAATTCCACAGTGCAAGCCTCCACGCCATCAGAACCGTCGAGCTAGCGTGAGAACCTGCATGGTGCTGACGATGCCCCAGCTTCATCTTGTCAAATATGTGTCGTAAGATACTTCGTTCACTGCGTATTTTATGGGCTTAAGCCACGAAGACGTAGAGAGGTGAGAGTCCTATCACACACTGGTCCAGCCTCGCTGTATTGGCGTTCTGTTAGCTGGTCGAGTTGTACGCGGCGCAACGTCGGGTGCCGATACTCATGGCCGGCCTCACTGTTGAGCAGCCCAGAGATAGCTGCTGCTGCTGCGAAGTGGTGCAGTCAATGATAAGACCCCGTCCGAGAGCCACATAAAGGCGCAATACAAGGCGCTCTCGCCATGATTTTTGTCTGTTTGCAAGGCCAGAACGGCCGAGCTAAGCTCCGTTGGGCCGAAGGGGATGCATCTACTGGATGTTGGCCCAGGGGCGTGCATATTCACCTGCCACTCATCCAAGGAACCAAAGAAACAAACGTCGTGGAATAAATACTCCAGTCAAATAAATGCACAGCCGTTTTGCTTTCAAGAACGCACAGACCACCAGCGATGCAGGAGAACAAAGCTCCAGAACACTACTTGGAGAAGGCGCGCTTGTGATTGGCTGCAGCTATTTGCTGCAACGGCAGGCACCGTTTTGTGGGGGAGCGAACGTAGATTCTTACGATTTTTTTAGAGCCAGATTCGACCTCGTGCGGGACAACAACAACAAAGCATACGACGTGAAGACCCGACGTCACATCCATTACCGCAGAGCGACAGCAATCGGGTCATCCTGTCAGAAAATACGACTCGATAGAGTCGAGGCAGGCTCTTCCAATACGGGCATCACATAAAAACATACAGCCTTGAGGGGCTGCACCGACGCAGCCTTGTCCCGACCTCCGTCACAAACACATTTTACGTCCTGCCATACAACGGCTCCGCAAAATCAGCAGCAGTATTGAACCTTGCATCAAAGACACACGGGAGCATCGAGTAATGGGGCCGAGCAAGAGACACGCAGCATCGGCGCCCTTCGGGCAGCAGCAGAACCAAAAAAAGCCGAAAACAGCACCTTCCACAATCTTGAACACGCCCAAGGCAGCAAAGCCAACAACAAAGACAACTTCCAGCACGGTCATCCCGGCGACTCCGGGCGCAGCCGTAGACACAGCTTCGAAACGCGGCAAACAACAAACACCGACCAAAGAGCCCCAGTCAGAAAAACGGCAAAGAACGCCGCAGACAGCAGAGGCGGCACCCAAAAAGCGACCATCCAAACCACATTCGCAAAAGCAGGCGGCGCAACCCAGCACACTCCCCCTCGAGCCTCATGCCACCATATTGCGCGAGCTTGACCCCAAATACGATGTCCACACTCTCTCCGTCATCTCGTCATCGAAAATGGAGAAGCGCATCCAGGCAGTCCTCAACCACCTTGCAGATCGACCGATCGCTCATACCACAAAAGAACGAGAGGCATCGCCACCAACAACCCGGCCGGGCGTTGTGCTCCTACATAGCCGAGTCCTTGATTCCAACAAGCTCATCTCCATTGCCGAGATTGTCAAGCAGCGTGTGCGGGAAGGCTATTATGCTCGGGGAGCGGAAGGCGCGGGCGCTACGGGGGCGTCCAAGAAGCAGGGAAAGAAGGGTTCAAAACTGTCAAAGATGTCGTGGTATCAATACAACCGGATCTACGATGTTGTGTCTGCACCCGGCGCAGCGGACACCGCACCCGGTGCGGGGGATGACGAGGATGACGGCTTTGCACCTATGATGCACAGGTTCACAGAAGCAATGTCGGGAAAGAAAGCCTTGCAGGGGCGGGCAAATATCACAACCTACGTGAGCATTGTCCTGTCACGGACTCCCATCGCGGAATTGCAAAAGAACCCAGAAATATCTGTCCAGGCCAGCACTGACCCATTGGAGGTTGAGTTTGAGCAGTGGATGGCCAGGACTTGATCGCAGAGGGACGCGGGCAGTGACTATGGTGCTGACTCCGGAGTGGCATATGGCAGAGTTGCGGGTGATCTTGGGAACACATACATGGCACGGAAATTGAGGTTAAAGATTTGGCAAGCTTACATTATGATACCCTGGCTCTTCACGGTTTTAATTCCATAAAGCTTTCGATTTATTTTATTTCGTTTAATTTTGGTTTGTTTATTCTTCGTTTCTAAGCTATTTTTATTTATTTATTTGAAAAAAAGTTGTCGAAAAAAAAAAAGAACAATATTTGTTCACCATCGGTATCATACGAAGCTTAATTCCACGAATTCCATTCGAGCATGAACAACTTGCGTGACTTGTTATAAAAGTAAAATACATGGTGTAAACAAATGCCAATCACCGTTAACATAAGCCACGAAAGTACTCCGTATAGGTTCATCATCTGTCCGTCGGATCACAGTATCCTGCTGCTCACGTAAATCCAATCCCAAGTAACCAAAAAGTAAATGCTAGATATGCAATGCAGTCAGTCTGTACCCTCCATCCAGTCGTGTTCGTCCCCAGTAGTTTGTGAATTACTGTGGTTCTGCGCCTGTAAACATGTCACGCCCACCTCGGATCCAGGAGTGCGGTGCAGTTCCATCCTTTCACAATTGGATCCGTCACCTTGACGCAGGCGACGCGAAAACCGAGCCCATGTTCGCTTTTCAAGCCAAAGGAAGGAAATAGCCGCGCCTACTTCCGGTGGACTTCTCTTCGTCCGCTTCCGCCCACTACTGCATAACCGTTCTATGGGTTGCCGCCAGTCGAGGAGTAGACGATGCGCAGGACAAAGTTGACAACAATGGCCAGCACCAGGATGACGGCCAGGAACGTGGGACCGAAGCGGTCGTCGAAACCGGCCTGGCCACGCCGCCGTATCGACTTGGCACGCCAGTGGTAGGTGAAGAGCGCATACAGCATGGTCACGAGGGCAACACCCGTGAACAAAAAGGCGGAAATGAACGCCGGACGGTCACCAAAGTTGAGCATGCCGATGGCGAGGGCGCCGAGGATGACGGTGAAGTTCATCCATGACAGGAACGTGCGCTCGTTGGCGAAGAATACCTTGGGCTCGACGCGCGTCGGGAGAGCGATACGCTTGCCTGAAGAGGGGCCACGAGAATCAGCCAGCGTGTTCCAGGGAGCAGGCAAAAGAGGGAGGCAGAAATGAAGAGCCTTTTGATGGCTTACCTGGGGCAGTCTGGAGAAGAGGCTGGCTGGACATTTTGGCGGATGGCGCGAGAGGCGACGAGGAAGGCGAGTATCTCTGAAAGAGAAGGTCAAAACAAGTACAAGAGAAGAATTGAGTCTCGCGAAGTCGGCTGTTCGGAAGCGAGGACGACAAAGGGAAATGGGCGTCGAGATGCTAGGGACGAGGAGAGAATGGCGATCGTATCCAGAAGCGAAAAAAACAACAGAGCGATCTGGTCTGCTTATCGCGGTCCGATAGCAGCTAGAGGGAGAAAGAAGTGTACAAAGTATAGTCGTAGAAGAAGAAGCTGATTTGCCTGCAAGAGATGCCGTGACGACGAAGAGAGGGCCACGGAGAGATCACAATCTTTGATGGAAACAAGAAAAGTGTACGACGTAAAAGGACAAAAGACGAGGGAATTCGGCAACGGGACACTAGTTTCAATTGCAGAGCCTGGCGATGCGAGAAACATCCCAGGTATTGCTATGGAGCTTGCACGGGCGGACAGAAGCTGCAGCAAAAGACCACCAAAAGAGGCCAGGCTTTGAGCTGTGTATGCACTGTGGGAGCTTACACGAGGATTTTTTGGGGGGTACAAGCAGCCCGGAGTGCACGTGGGTCATTTGATTGGCCAGTATTCACTGTAGCAACCGGATCCGGATATCACGTGCCGGCTCTCGAACTGTTTCTGCAGCCCTTGCCGTCCGCATGGAGACAAACAGCCAATCAGAGCGCGGGTTCGACCTCTGCACCTACGACACAATGATGCGTCCCTGGTCCTCAGTCGCAAGCAGAGCAAGGAAGGGACCACCGGAACGGCAGGCACGATCTGATCCAACACCGCAAATTGCAGGCCAAAGTGCTCTCTTCGGTTCCCTTTTCATGTGTTATGTAAGATGGAAAGGTGTGCAAAGCCACCCCCACTGGCTGCAGCCTCGTCCTTCCCACCCAGTCTTCCGTTTCTTGTACGCAGGCGCCACACCCAGCGCCAGCCTTGCCCCTCCCAATTGCTTTCCATACCAATCCCGCTCCTTCACCGCTTTTGGGCAGGCAAGCAATCACAACCCCTGTCCGTCTTTGCTGACCATTCCTTGCTGCACAGCACTTTTTGTTTATTTACTCTGCAGCATCAAACATAGGACATCTTCTCTCGATCACGACCTCCTAACACCGCCCTTTCTAGTCTCCATCTCCCACCCACCATACCCCGACTGCAAGTATGGCCGACGCCACGTCAAACGCGGTACGTTTGTTGTGGACACGAGTCGTGGCTCTGTCTCGAGATCCTCGCAGCACCGCTCGGCCCCTTTATGCGTCTGCGCCTAGATGGGGCCAGCCTCGTTCCCCAAGTTTCCGTTTTGCTTAGATTTTGCCATTATCATTGTAACCTCGACTAACGCGTCTTTTTTCCGTGTTTTCAGCCCATCAAGCCGACGCGACTTAAGCAGATCACCGAGGATGTAAGTGGGCGGCCACCTTCGCTCCCCCTTGCCTTATCCGACAGGGCCCCATTCGCAATACGAACCCTGATGCGACGGCCGGTAGCGAGGCGATATACTGCGAATGTCGTAGCTAAAGAAAGGCATCTCATCATGCTAACCCGGCCCCCAACGACAGGCTTGCCAGAGCGCCATCGGCTCCGCCGAGTTCTACGAGCACGAGAAGACAGAGAGCTGGAACACGACCATCATTGTACGTTGAAGAACCGGACCCCCCCTCGGTTGGACCGTCGAGTGGCATTCGAACTCGCTAATGCTCTTCCGCCTTCCCCAGAACTCTATCCTCAAGGCCCTGATCAGCGAGTCGGCGACCGGCACCAGCGGCGCCCCGGCTTTCAAGTTCGCCGTCAACAGCACGATCGTGCAACACCTCGTCCCGACATCTCAGCTTAACAAGTCGCGGGGGACCGACACGGCCGCCGGCACCGACGACAACTCGACCCACGTCTCGGGCAGCAAGCCGGCTGCCACGGGCACGGACGGCAAGCCGCACGTCGGCCGCCGCGGCATGCACAGCGCCCAGGCTGCGTACTGGAACGAGAAGACGGACGGCATGTGGACGTACAAGTACGACGGCGGCGAGGGCAAGGGCTTTGACATTATTGTCATGGTCCTGTGGATCGCTTACGACTCGGGCAACCGGGTGTAAAGAATAACTGACAGGCTGGGAGGCCAAGACGCACGAGGGAATGAGGAGGGAATGAGAGGGTGTTGGCAGAGAGAAGGACAGAACGACCAAGGAATGATCTATTCATGGAACGGGCCAATTCAATTTTTCTGTTGAAGTCTCAACAGCAGACATTTTTACGGGCAGGATATGCATCTTTCATATATGATTTACCGTGTTGAATACACAACCACGTGGACAATTGTGCGAAGAGTTGTACATGGACTCATAAGAAGCATAGATGAGAGACTACCGCGTGATGTTCAATGCTGTGTTGGCTTGCTCCGCTTGAGACGCTCGGTTACCGGTTGTTGGTACACTCCGAACCCTTACTGGCCGGTTCCGTTGCCGACTGGTGCTGCGCGGGTGATTAGATGATCACGGCTGTCTTGATCTGGCTACCTGGCTCCCTGGGAATGCCATAAGGGCCGACGAGTTTCTATGTCAGAGTGGCGTGCATCGAAAGCTGGCCACGACTAACGTGCATCCCGATTTCTTTTCGACCCCCTCACCTGATCAACGTCTCGTGGGCCCTGTACTAATCCACCAGACCCATTGTTTACATCATAGGCTGAGGGCGTGATTCTGTCCAACTTTCGGCGACAATAAGGATCTGGAAGATGGAACAGTTGGTTATGTTTGGCGAGCCCAGGCGACTACTTTGTAGCTTTCTTTTCTGGACCTGATTCTCTCTTCTAAGGGCTAAACTAAAATACATTCTAATTATTGGCCATATGCCATTGCAGTCCAACGCCAATTGAAAGTCACGCGACGTGTTGTGCAAACGGTCTGGATTCAATGTTGCAAGATAAGTTGGTATTCGGTCTAGACATGAGAGATGAGATGAACGTTGTAATTGGCCCTCGCTTTACATCTACGGGAGCCCAATTCATATGGAGGTGTGCATGTGCACTCAAGAGACAACGTCAGACTATGCGAGATGCTGCATACAAAAATGGATACAGCTTCCTTGTTTGGCTGTCGCCTATGGGGCGCCCCCAAAACCGGGAACGACTTGCATGACACAATGGCACGACGACGCAGAAAGGGAAAGAACGAACAAAGTGGAGCGCCTATGACGGCACCGACGGCAGGCGCGCCCACTCCCCCAGACCACACTCTTCACCACTGAGAAAGGAACCACGGCAGCACGGTTCGCACTTGCCGTGTTGCATTCGGAGGAGCCTAGACTGCAAGACTCACCACTTGGTCTGGCCTGGCCTATTCGGCATTCAACCAAGAGGGAAAGTACAACCCTGCCGCAAAGAATCATGAGATACGACTTGCGTTGGATGCGAAAACGAAAACTTCTGCACGGCACAAATTTCTCTTCGTAACCAGAACCCGGACACAGCGCAAATAGGATTAAAGCCTGCTGAAAGACTGAAAGGCCCAGAGGCGAAAATGGCCACGGCAAAGGGACTTTGGGGGGGCGAATACACAGGTCGCTCACGCCAGCGGCCACCGTTCTTAGCCCGAGCGGGACGTGGTCCGCAGCCGGCGACATATGGTGTGAAATACAGTTAGTAGGCGAGCAGATCTTGTTTCGCACTGAGAATAGTCCCTGGGTGGCCAAGAATAGACCGTTATTTGTAAGGCCCGACAAAGTCCGTCGGGGCTCCAGTGGCACCAATTGGACCCTTTGATATGTCCGAGGCTTGGAGCGAGCGCTGTCGGTCAGTTGGGCAAGGGGCGGAAGAGGGAGCAAGAGCGATGCCCGGGGAACACAGTGGGTGCAAAGGACTTGCTGCAACTGGTCTATAGCGAAAAACATTTTTCAGCAAGAGAAGGGACGACCAGCGCATCCATCTCCCCCTGCATTGCGCTTTCCTTTGATGATCTGATGCGACTGCATATAACAAGTTGCATTCCCCCCATCCTTCTTCCAGCCCCCATCCTGTAGATACTGTGTTTCTGCATCTTCCACAAAATCCTCTTCCGCTCCCTGCGTCAGCTTTCCATCGTCTCGACCCCCTTGCACCAACAACATCCCTGTGCGTCGTACCTCATCCGACAGACCAAAAAGCAGTCACGAGGTGACTGTGTTTGACGTCCAACGCTTTGCGAAAGCGCCAATCTTTGCCGGATTACCAGCCTTGTCCTCAGGCGGATCTCCTCTACCGGCTTGTGTTTCCCTGAAAAGGGACGGCGGCACACAGGCACCGTACAATTCGTGCAAACTTCTACGACATACAGTGCCTGTCTACACCCACCAGTCCGGTTGATTTCTGGCATTTGATCATACGACCACCTCCTCGCATCTTTCGCATTGGTGCCACGCGAGCAGAACAATCGACTAACCCCCCCGACGTGTAACTGCGCCCCGCCCCGGCCTCATCTATCGTGGGCTCTGTTGCCGTTGTTCGATTCGTCGTCCCAGAAGAGCGCTTTCTTTTGGCTTCGACGTACCGGGCACCACATTTGCCCCCCCTCATCTCTAAGTCGCATTTCCCGCTCTGGAGCGACTTGTCCACCCCCCTCTCAACACAGGGCGTTTTCCTGGCGTTTTTCTGGCGTTTTCCTTTACTCCATATTAGGGTCGCGCCGCGACGATCGCGCTATCATACCCAGACGTTCTGACACTATAACGACATCACCTTTCTTGCCGTGCCGCCTGATGAGCTTGCTAGTGAAGAAGGGTATCGGAATCGCTCTGCCTCCTTCGCCTCTGGATCGCAAGCCGTACCTGGGCACACCACTCCTCGTCAGCACTGGACGCAGGTGCATTGCTTACACGTAAACAGTGCCTGTTCGGTTCGTCACATTCGTTTCGTTTGATACGTTCATTCGTTGTCTACCCCACCCCGCTCTGGAACCTCGTCTCCTCTCGGCAGCCTGAAGGCATATAAGATTCCGACCAGACGCGCCCGACTTCCCCTCTCGCATCCTTCGCTCCCTGTCAGCTACAGGACAAGACACGGCAGTCAGAACCCAAATATAATACCCGCCGCGATACGCGACCGACTCGAACCTTTATCACCATTTGGACAATGACAGCATCGATGACGACAATGCTTGAAAGCCTATACACTTCCCAGGGCAGTCACACTTCGCTTGTTCGTGGGGTAGACCCGAAGTCGTTCAACCCCAACGACAACTCGGCCAGTGGCAGAAACGGCCGTGTTCCTTTCCGGCCGCCACGTCGCGCCCAGTCCACCAACGACTATGTCTACCCTTCGCCGCCTCCGCTGATGCGGGGCGAGTCAAGGACGGTGCTCATCCACCAGAACAGCGCCAACAACATTCCACAGGCGGCCCTTGCGGCACCAGCGGAGGTTGCATCAAGCGGAGATGCCTTGAAAACGCTCGCCGCACACGGACGACCGCCGACCATTGACGAGGAGACCGTCAGTGGCCTGGTATCGCCGGGCGCCGTAACGCCCGTACCTACACCTACACCCCCGCCGGCGGAGATTGGCAGAACAACGCGGCCGAAGCTGGGACCGCCTCGGCGGTCGTACTCGGTCATGGACTACGAGCCGGTGCCACATCACCACCGCCTGTCAGAGAACCTCGGCCTCCTCGACCTGCCCCCCGAGCTGCACTACACCATCTTCGACTTCCTGGATCCGATTGACAGCACGTGCTTGGGGTTGACCAACAAGCACTTTTACGACATCCACCGCCGCATGCATGGTGCTGTGCCTCTGTCGGTGCGGCGGCCGGGTCCCAACGACATGGAGTGGGTGTGGCATCTGGCAGGCCGGATGATGCACGGCGGCCACTCGGATGCCGCCACGCTGGAGGCCACGACGAACGCGCTGGCTATGCTGCGCGTACGGGGCCAGGCCCTGTGTCGCAAGTGCGGTGTTTCGCGCTGCGAGCTGCACAAACACATTCAGGGCTGGATGGGCCCCGGTTACGAGTACTGTACGGTCCGGGAGAAGTTTGGACCGGCCGCTCCCGAGGGTGCCAAAGAGTTTTGCTATCTGAGCAACCCCAAAGACCCGCACCGCTGCGGCAGACATCGCGTTAACAAATCACGGCCGACGACCCCGGTGCCGTAGGGTGCAATGGCACCATTACTCTTCTCGCACCAGTCTTTCATCATTGTCAGTTTTACGAATACGTCTTTTCTCATTGCGGATATCATGTCTCAACAGTGTGGACGAGCGCGGAGGATGCGCCCGGTATCAACGGGCAGGGTTTTAGCGAGGCGTTATAGTTTTGATTTTGCTATTTAGTTGCCATTACATTGACGGACAGGGCCATGTGGTTACCTGATTGTAGGATATAAAGTTTATCGTTTTACCCAGCGAAGAGTAGGACCATGATGGGCACACGCATTTTAAAATCATGGAGGAATCGAACGGCTGCACTTCTTCAACAAGACAGTTTTTAATAATTATCTCTTATTATTGCCAGCGTGTGTTGGAGTGTATCGTACGTTTCGTAATGTCCGTTCTACGTACTAACATGGGGTTGGAGGATGGAGGACGAAAGGCACCAAGTCTCACGACAAAGGTTGCACAAAGTACGAAGAGCGACTACGGCATGCTTTTTATTCACTACAACAGCCATGTCGCGGCACTTGAGCCATGAGTTATGCAAGGTCCTTGACAAAGGACTTCTTTGTTAAATGGCGTTGGGGCAATGGTGCGCCCAGCGTGAAAAGAGGCCGCTTATTCTGATGACGCCACTTTTATGCCCAGCTTAAAGAGGCAGGGGAGACGCGGCCAGCACAAAGCAACAAGGGCGTGTTCCTTGCGCGTCGCACTTTCCCTCCCGGTCCTTCCATGTAATCTTGAGAGCATTTATGCCGTACTCCGAAATGGATCTTATTTACTCCTGCCCTGTGGCTTGCCTCGCTCTTTCCCATCGAAAGCCCCCAGTCCACACCTTCTTCCCGCGCTGCTGCTGTATCTTTCACTTGCTAGGGTCAAGAATAGGGGCTGTTGGGGCGTACCTTCTGCTTTTAATGCTATACAGCTGTTAGCGTATCGTCTTGCCTACTTGGGAAAGGGCGACGTCCTAGATTTCCTGCAGCTTCGACTGCTTCCGCCAGCTTTCCGTCATTTCGTCTTTTCGGTCTTTTGTCCCTTTTCAACTTTTCCAAACCCTCTCCTTTCCCTTCTCTTCTCATTTGCTTCGTGTATCCTGCCATCCTTATTTTCGACTTCTACCTACTTTGGATCGACTCCTATGATATCCGGTCGCGCCTGTGCCACGTTCTGTTCGCATTTGACACGTCTGCCCAGCTCGGGGCTTTCGTGGAACCTGGCCATACCAATCGGGGCCACAGCACCACCAAAAATCAAAAGACAACTTCAAGGCACAACAAACACATCCTGACGCTGCCGCAGCTGCTGGTGTCGTCATTCGATTGACTTGATTCTTTCTATTGGCCCAGCCGTGTTTCTGGCTCTCCATTTTTCAACGCAGCCTTCAGAAAATACTGCAATTAAACCTCCGTCTTCCTTTCTCCCCTTTTTTTGTCATCGTTTCAAGCTTCTGTTTTCTCGGCAACTGGCCTCGTCATTGCGTCTTTTATCGGCTGCATCGAATTCCCCGTCTGACGATTTATTTAGTCGCCGTTGATTGACCGACCCGACCTTTTTTCCCTATTGCACACACACACACAACCCACGCAAAATGCCTCCTTCGTCAAGCTCAACGACCGGCGGTGCTAACGGCAAACGCAAGCGTACCCGTGAAACAGCTGTCAACAACCACGACGACTTTCACGAGGAGAATGGCGACGATAACACCGAGTCCGAACACGACAACGATGCCGCGGACGCGTCCCCGTCTACACGGCGCCAGAACCAGCGACAGAAGCAGCTGCCTCCCAGTAAGCGGCAGCGTCCGAATGTCGACACCGACGGCCGCCGGAACAGCAACTCTACCAGCGACGACGACAACGAGGACGACAACGAGGACGTGAGTGCGTCCGACGAGTCCATGGCGCCGCCGCCGGTCGGTGGCGGCGGCCTCATTCACCCTCACGGCTACCGCACAAACTCCCCACCCACGGGTCGGCCGGTCCGTGTCTATGCAGATGGCGTCTTTGATCTGTTCCATCTTGGGTATATCCTCCCTTTTCTTCTATAGCAGATTGTACGATGCGTGGGCAACACTTTCTAACTCCCAGTAGACACATGCGTCAGCTCGAGCAGGCCAAGAAGGCGTTTTCTGACGTTTACCTGATTGTTGGCGTCACGGGCGACGAGGAGACCCACAAGCGCAAGGGCTTGACTGTGTTGTCTGGCAAGGAGCGTGCCGAGACTGTACGCCACTGCAAGTGGGTAGACGAAGTCATTGAAAACTGCCCGTGGATCGTTACGCCCGCCTTCCTCGAGGAGCACCAGATTGACTACGTCGCCCACGACGACATTCCCTACGGCGCCGACGAGGGCGACGACATTTACCAGCCGATAAAGGCCGCTGGCAAGTTTTTGGTGACCCAGCGCACTGAGGGTGTCAGCACAACGGGCATTATCACCAAGATCGTCCGCGACTACGAAAAGTACATCTCCCGCCAACTGAAGCGCGGCACCTCCCGCCAGGAGCTCAATGTGAGCTGGCTGAAGAAGAACGAGCTCGAGCTCAAGCGCCACGTCCAAGACCTGCGTGACAATATCCGTGCCAACTGGACCACGACAGGCCAGGAGCTCAGCAAGGAGCTGCGCCAGTTCTGGCCCACCAGCCGGCCCCAGAGCCCTGCCCCGCGGCCCTCGCTGCACCTCGGCTCCCCCGCCGGCCAGTCGTACCTGACCGCCAACGATGGGCCCCTCCCGGCGAGCCCCACCTCGACCCTAAACCTCCACCAGCAGCATCAGCAGGCTGTGGGCGGCGGTAATGGCGCGGCCCCCAGCATCAACACGTCGACACCCAAGTCGCCCGTCGGCAGCACCAACGACTTTGTGGCCGGCTACGCCCTCGGCCTGATTGGCGGCGTGCGGTCGTGGATGACCAAGAGCCGACAGCGCGGCCGGGACACGCGGTCGCAACAAGTCAGTGACGACGACTCTGAGGAGAGCGACGATAAGCAGCCGTCGGGCAGCGGCAGTGGTAGCGGAAACAATACACAAGAAGCTAAGAGCCGCCCGAGCAGCTCCCGGACTGGCAACGGCATCGAGCGCATTGCTTCGTCTTCCGACCTGCGGCGAAGCCTGCGCGCATCATAAGCGTGTGGGTACAGTTTGCGTTGCCTGTCTATCGTTTTGGTGTCGTCGGTGCTCGCTTTTTTTCTTCTTCTTTTTTACTTCACCGATTTCTTTTTTCCTTTCTTCCTCTTCATCCTGGTCTTCATTTCATTCCCCCCTCTTTCCCGTTACACCGTCTTCCTCTCTAGTTCCGCAAAACGCCCATAAACCACCCCGAAACACAATAGATGATTCATCCCCTTTTTGCTATATTATCCCCTTTGCGTTATTTTTACCTGCTATTTTCTGTCGTCCGGTTTACAGGCAGGTTTGGTTTTCCTATTACAGTATTCAGTACACACAAAAAGGCGGCCGGATTGAACAGCAGATGTTGGGAAGACACCGAGCCGGTTTCCCTGTTCTGCGACGTGGAAGATAATATAGAGTATTTTTTAGCTTTCGTACAAAGTCAGAATACGCGGGGCAAAAAAAGGCGTTTTAGTCGTTGCAAATGTTTTGTATTCGCATAGTGGTAACATGTAAATAGATGGTGGTATGTAATTTATGTTATTTGCTAGTATATGCCGTCATCCGTGAAAACGACAAAGTCATAAGCTGCTTTGCGTGAAAAAAATACGAAGAAAAAGAGCGCTGCTGTATCTGGCTTCGAAATGAGAAGGCATGCAGTAGTTTAAAAAACAGAACCTAAAGGAGAGCTCCGTAAATGTGTGCGCCGACATGTAGAACTGGCCAGAACCAAAGAAAGTTTTCCGCAATTCATTGTATTCTGGGTCTTCCAAAAATCAGAATCCTCTTCGGCCGCCGGTGCTCATGAGTGTAATCTTTTGCTTCTTCTTCTTCTTGGATTTACCACCCGCAGCTGGGGACGCGGCAGCGTCCGCGTCGCCGTCGACGGTCTGCTTGGCCGCCTCTACGCCCAGGGCTTCCATCTGGGCCACCAGGTCGGCGTCGCTGGCTCCGCTCGTATCGAGGAGCGAGCCCAGCACCTGGTCGTCCTTGAGCCATCCGTCGTCCGGGGCATTACTGGCGACATAGGCTTGCAGGCTCGGCGACACAGGCACGGCGCGCGTACCCCAAACGGTTCGTGATGCCGAGTTGGACAACGACGAAGGCGGCGTCGTCGACATGGACGCCAGCTGGCCAAAGCCGAGGCGCGGGTTGGGCGGGGAGGCCGACGACGATGTCAAGCCGCCGCCCTCGTTGTCACCAGGACCACCACCGAGCGGCTGGAACTCATTGATATCCATGGGCCGGACGGCGTCGTCGTATATGCTGTCGTGGCCGTGACCGCCGCCATCAAGACTGCCGGGTGCATCACCACTACCGCCTCCGCCGCCGCCACCGCTGCGCCGTCCAGCACCTCTGTGGAGTGCGGCGGCTTCAAGACGCTCGGCCTGCAGCCGTTCGCGCTCTTCCTGGAAGGCCTTGTCGCGGTTGCGCTTCCGGCGGCGCTCAATGTCCTCGGCAAACGTAGCGAGCGTCTCGGCCGGCACAATGTCCGTCCAGTCGCACTCCAGAAAGGACACGACGCAGCCGGCGGGGAGGTGACCAAGATACTTGGCGCGGCGGCGCATGGCGTCGTCCACCACGTGGCCGGTGGAAATGTGCTCGACGCGCGGCAGGAGGGTGGAGGGGAACGCCGAAAAGGAGCCGTACTTGGTCTTGAGGATACGAATGTCGAGCGGAGAGAGATAGAGGTGGGGCGGAGACATGTAAAAGTAAAAGTCTTGCGGGGCTGCCACTGTAGCAGCTGCACCTGCGGCAGCGGCGGCGCCTGATGAGGCGGCCGGTGGCCGTGGTAGGGAAGATAGTCCGTCGTCTGGCCGCGGTTGCGCAGTTCGTGCTGGTGCTGGAGCTGGTGATGCGGTTGTCACCGTGGGTGACGTAGGCTCGGCCCCGACAGGAAGCTGCTTCATTGGTCGCTGGTTGCTGCTACTGCCACCGAAAATGCTGCCGTCCTGCAGTGCGAGCTCGATCCCGCCCAGTTCTCGAGAGCTCTCCTGTGCCGTTCGCACGGCCCGCATAGCGCGCCGTGTCCACTCGCCGTCCTCGTGGAACAGCAGCTCGTCCTCTTTCTCCTGGCGCGCAAGGTCTTCCAGCTCCCGCCCAAACTCCTCCACCATGTAGTCCCCGGTGCCCTTCATGATGCGTGCATAGTCAAGTACATTGGCCGCAAAGTGCCACGGAATCGAAACACCGCCCCGTCCGCCCTTGGCACCAGAATTGAGTACATCGGCCGCGCTTTCGCGCGGCAATGCGACGGTCGAGTTGGCGTGGCGCATCATGAGACGTAGCACGACATCGTCACCTGGCCGGGGCAACGGGCTTTCTTGCCCTGCATAAAAGCGTACGGGCCGCACCTCCCCCAGGTACACGCTCTCCTCACAGATGGGGCACTTCTTCCACTTGGCTCGCTTTTCTGGTACGGGTGCTGACGGCGATGAGAGTGCGCCATTCGCATCCGGGACAGGCGGGAGACCGACCACAGTGCGTGCGGTACGGGAGGCGTTGCTGGCCGAGTCGTCGGCATCGATGGCGTGCATGAAGCGAATCAGACAGGGCAGACAGAAGATGTGGCCGCACTTGGCCATGCGGGGCGCAACAGGCTCTGACAGACAGATGGGACACGACGAGGTTTGAGACTCAGTCGACGCCAGGACCTGCAGGACATCGCTCCAGTCAATGTACCCGTCGGCGTCGGTGGCTTGGGTCGCATAGTTGCCCTTGGGCGAGACAACGAAACGGTAGTTGGAGTGCACAAACCGGGCCTTGTCGACCGAGCTGTTGTGGTGGTGGGAGCGGTACGAGTGGTGGCCACCGCCGGCGTAGTGATGGTGTCCTCCATGGTGCCGGGAGCGGCTGCCGTAGTAGTGGTCGTTGCCGCCAAAGGCGTGGTCTAGATAGGCGCGAGAGGGCGCCGCATAGTTGAGGAGGTGGGTGATGGACGTCTGGCCGCGGCGGCTGGACGCGTTCTTCAAAGCGCGGGTTTCCGCCATATCATCCTCGTCCTCGAAGCGGTAGTTTTTGTTCTTGTTCTGCCCGGTGTTGCCACTGCCGGACGCTCCACCGCTCGCAGCGCCCGGCCGTTTCTGGTTCCGGTGTTGCTTGCGTGATGCCTGGCCTTTGCGTGGGGCCGCCGAGATGCCTGCAGCAGGTCCGCTGGTCTGCTGGTTCGGCCGACGGGAGGAGTAGTCAGCGCCGCCAGTCGATGCGGCTGCTGGGGTGACGGGCGAGTGCGAGGATGGAGAAGGAGACGACAGCGACTTGCCCAGGTTCGCCTGTGGTACGCTCATTTTTTATTCGAGAAGGCGAAGGGGTGGAAAGCGGTCGGTGATCGTCCAGCAGGCGGTTAAGCGGATACGGCTGAAAAAAGAGAGGCTGAAAGAGAATTGCGTGCTGGGCCGTGACAACCGTGAAGAAGTACGAAGGTCAATAAGTGGCAAACGGTGGCGGTTGTCGAGACGCTTCGAAACGAATGCTAATGAGAACGGATGGCTCGCTGGATATGCCGACGTCTATCGCTATCGACAATGATAGTATCGGAGCTTCATCCCAATCGTCATCGCCCTGCAGGTCTCGCTGTTGCCAGTAGTTGGCGACGTTGGTCTTGGCCCTTTGAAAAAGAGCAGCAACGGACGACGTGGGATCAGGAGGAGGGCTTCGATTCTGTCGATGAAGCGGTTTAGGGATTGACGATCAGCGGTCGTAAGTCATCGACGTCTAATCGAGAACGCGTCGGCATAGGACAGAGTGTTGGTTCACAACCAGAAACGGCAAAGAGTCCGTCCAAGGCGCGAAAGGCGTTGGAATGGGAGAAGGAGAGAGAGAGGAAGACGTGAGGAGAGGAGGGGAACGCTAGGAGAATCACGACAGTGGTGTCGATAGTGCCCAGAAAAAGTAGGAGCGAATGATCTAAGCAGAGGAAGTCGCGGCAGACGGAGTCATAGGCTGGAAAGGGCGGGGCAAATGACACTCGGGACGGAAGGCGAAACGGAATGTCACGCTATTTGTCGGGCGATCACGTGAAGCGCAATGGCCTCTTCTACGTCACACTCAGCGCAATTTGCACAGCTTCAACATCTGATACATATTGCACTATTCAAAAATAATGAATATCGTGCTCACTGAGGTGAAAACGTTTACTGTATTTGTCTACACTACTACAAATTCAAAATTGGAAAACGACCCAAATGATGAAACTTAGATAAAATGCAAAACAAATTCAAGAGACCATGGCCAACCAAGCCGGTTCCAAGTCCTCCCCATTACCACTTCTCCGCGACCCTCTTCTCTTTGATTTGGTATCCAACACATATTACCCTCTGGATGCCCGATCCTCATTATGCCTTCTATTTTCCAATTCATTAATGTCTGGTCTCACAGAACAAGAACAACGCGAGTAGAGTAGCACACCCCGGGGAATCAAGAAAGACATGAGAAAAAAACAATCGCATGCCCATATGAACGACGGAAGAGACGAGCTGACAGGAAGGAACACGTCAACCGTAGTCTGGCGTCGGGGAAAGAACAATACGTAAAGAGAGCAAAAATGTAAAATGCGATGTCCAAAAACAAAAAAAACAAAAACAAAAAAAGACTAAGAATGAACTACAAACCAAAAAAAAAAGAAAAAAATCAAAATCAAAATATGGGGTGCCTTTCTAGACAAGAGCGTGACGGAAACTGTACAGATGACGTGGTGTTATGAGGAGAAAGCAAGACACGGCCACGTAGATGGCCATAACGAGAACGGGACCGGAACGAGCTGAGAAAAGTGACGGGCGGTTGTGGAGAATCGAAGAGGTTCTATTTCTTGTCGCCATCGATCTTGTCCAGGATCTTGTGGAAGAAGCCGCTGAGGCGATTCTTCTTCTTCTTCTCGGCGTTGACAACTCCACCCTTGGATGGCCGGGATGACGAAGCAGAGCCAATGGCCGCGGCGGTGGGGTTGGCGATAGGAGCGACCTGGGGAACCGACGCAGGGCCCGACGCGGCGGCACCAACAGTGGCGGAGTCCTTGC